GAAAATCTGGGATAGAAGATTTTAGAACTTTAATATATGGCTTTACTGATGGCTTGTGCAATATAGCAAGTCTTCCAAAATGTCTATAATTGGATTTCGTTACAGGTCTACATATGAGATGACAATGGAAATATCCAATATTAGTTATATTAGAACTATACCCCAAGTGAGTTTCAGCAAGGAACACTAAATCTAGTTTTTCTATTTGCTTCAGACAAAAAGTGGGTCTTGTATTTTATTAGTATGCCTTTTAATAAGACCGCCACATTCCAAAAGCCCATCTTAATGGAAGATAATTCATCACAAGTCATTTTATAAAATAAAAATGTAACTCACAGTCTTACAATTTTCAAACAAAAAATTAACTTGTTTATGTCTCGATTAAAAAAATAAGTTGTATGAGACATTGGCAATCCTAACTGAATGTCATACAGTTATTATTACAGTGATATAAGCATTTCAGCTTAGATATTCCAGGTCTAACACAACTTCAAAATACTGATGGATTCAGTAGAGGATTATGCCAGGCAATGGGTTAAAAGCGGGAAAGAAGACTTAGATAATCTTTCCGAATGGATTAAGGCTGTGATTTCGTTGATACAAATCAGAATTGAAAAAACTGAGTGGGTCTATGAATACCCTTACTACATCAATCAAATGTTGCAAAACACCTGTCCTACCTCCATGACAAATATGTTGTTGTCCCTGCAGATAAAGCCCCAAACAACATCGCTTTTGTGTGTAAATCACATTACATAAACTGCTTGGTAAATGAATTAAGTAATGACAATTCACTTGGAAACTCAACATATACCCCCACGGCACTTGCCAAGGAGGAAATCCTGGATAATCATAGGCCTGTTCTATGTTCTTTTGGAATTTCAACCTAAGATGAAGAACTTAAGCCTCCTTTACTGTATTGGATACCTAAACTACATAAGTGTCATTACAAACAACGTTATGTTGCTGGGTCTTCTAAGTGCACCACGAAACCTCTTTCTAAATTATTATCAGCAATTTTATCAGCAATCAAAACCTAGCTTCAAAGTTATTGTGAAACTACCTATTCTAGAGGTGCCATGAATCAGATGTGGATACTAAAATATTCCAAAGGTCTTTTAGAGTACATACAATCTAAGACTCTTTCACAAATGCAATAGTATTAAAACGTTTGACTTTTCTACACTTTACACAAGTATTCCCCAAAAGATAAATTGAAGGAGTTGATCCTGCTTTGTTTCATAAAAAAAAAGAATGACCAACATAGATACAAGTATCTTGTCTTGAGGAGGGATAAATCGTACTTTGTAAAAAAACACTCTGATCCAAACAAAAAATTCTCTGAAACTGACATTATCAAGATGCTTGATTTCTTGATTGACATATTTCTAACGTTTGGAGGACGTGTTTTTCAACAAAAAAATCGGCATTCCTATGGGAATCAACTGTGCTCCTCTTGTCGACTTGTTCCTTTATTCAAATTTGGCTGACTTCATACGGGAACTTCTTAGGAAGAAAGAGAAGTTAGCAGTATTCCTTAACGTCACTTGGCTTGTATTTCCTATCATGATTTCCTTGATAGAGGGTTGCTGCTCACAAGGAAGCTATTAAACCAAGTGTTCCAAGTGGTGAAGTTGAAATCATCTCTTCGTAAATTTTACGGACGCCATCACGAGTTGGTTGACCGTTATGGAATAGCTATTTCACGAATGACAACGGATATGTTTCAATTGTCGTTACAACAATCCCGTCCCCTTTTCCCCGAATGTGACCTACCGAATTAGACTTATCACCGGGTTTGTACTAACATGAGTAATACGACGGGTGCCCCATGTGGAGCAGGATCTTCATACCCTTCCGGAGCACAACAGATTCCCCCGCTTTTTGGCGGGGTTCGTGTTGCTCAGTCTTTGGGTTTCTATGTTGTGTTTTGTGTACTGTTGTTTGTCTATTGGTCGTTTTCTTTTTTAGTCATGGCGCTGGCAGGTTATTTTCGACTTATGAGTTTGAATGTCCCTTTGGTATCTTTCGCCTCTCTTTTGAAATCATCAAGTCGGTAATAAATTCTAGTTTAGAAAAGATCAAGAATTGGAGCAGACCTTCTAGTTTCAGTAGTATCCTTAATCTATAGTTCACTTAGAAATATGAGCTGCAAGCCCTCACTGAAATGTGGGTTGATGAGTTACAGGACATAATCGATATAAAATATCTAAAAATGAAATTAAGGATCTGTGCAAGATGTTTTCTTTTTCTTTTTAACTTTGAAAAGGTTATGAAAGAGTTCTGCTTCATATGAGAACAAAAACAAGTGGACTAATAGGGATGAACAATTACCATCCATGGAAAACCACATAAACCATATAATAGGGATGAACAATTACCATCCATGGAAAACCACATTTACCATATATTGACGAACAAGTCGACTAATAGGGATGAACAATTACCATCCATGGAAAACCACATTTACCATATATTGACGAACAAGTCGACTAATAGGGATGAACAATTACCATCCATGGAAAACCACATTTACCATATATTGACGAACAAGTCGACTAATAGGGACGAACAATTACCATCCATGGAAAACCACATAAACCATATATTGACGAACAAGTAGTAGAAATCATGTAAAAGTTGTTCGAGTACTCAGAGTTGCAGATCTAAATAGTAAAATCTATTGAAACTCACAAAGTACAACCGTGAAAGGCATCAACTGAAAGAGGTCAGAAAGAGATTAGACAAAGGAAGCCTGAAGTCACAAAATTTCAAGTTAAAAATTGAAAAATTGGTTTTGTGTGCTGTACAATTTCGGTTAGTGAGAAGGCAGTATACAAGATAATTTGAAAAACATGTAAATACTGTAGAAAAGACAATTGGTCACCAAAAAAAAAAAAAACAAAGAGTGGCTTACATCTGAAACTTGGCAAATAGTAAATACAAGATACATTACAAGTTACATATAAAACAAAAGACATGGATGTTAAAAGAAACGAATGAAAAGATAAAAGTCAATACAAATACAAACGAAGAACAAACAGCCAATCTGGGAGAGTTGAGAACAAAGTACAAGCAGCTCTTATGAACATAAAGTAAACAGCCCATGAAAACGACAAAAAAGGTAATTCATACAGAACGAAACGTGAACAAGCAGAAAGATATGTCAAACATTTTAGAGGTGTAACTGCCATGGTCCTGATGTCAGAACTAATCCTCAATCAGCAGGTGAGGATTCAACACGGAGCCACAAACTTTACAATAAACAAGGAATGCCATTACATCTTTAAAAACAGGCAAGACACCAAGCATTGATTCCCTCCACGCATAGATGTTAAAGGCAGATCTGGATGCATAATCCTATTCTTTTCATCATTTTGAAGAAGGTGCAAAGGTCTCATTGTAAATCTCCCAAAGAAAGATAACCTACGTTATTATTACAACTGAAGGACAACACTACATCCCGTCACCAACAAAGTATTCTGTAAAAATTTCTGAAAAGAAAATAGCTGTAGATGAAAAACTTAAAGAGTAGAACAAGTATGCTTTAGAAAACGAAGAAGATGCATTGACCAAATTTTCACTCCTTTGAGCAAGGCATAGAATAGAACACACCAACTTTCAGCAATTTCATTAATTTAAAAAAAAAGTCTTTGAAATTACAGATAGAGAAACTCTTCAGAGAAATGACAGATCATATGCTTACCTATTGTATGCTACTTACTAGTATCTGGCTCGGTTTTTTATTTTATATGTTAACATGTTGTATTTATGTATTTTACTCAGTCATTTTATGATTTATGAAGATAATTAATCTGCCGTATCTACATGGTTGGCTGATATTATGATGTATGTAGCTAGTTAGCTTGCTGTATGCTACATATTTTGTAGATAGTTAGCCTATTGTATTCTACATTTCTGATTCAATTTTTCTTTGATTTGAAATTATCTGCTGCAAAATTTTCTTATGACTTACTTAAACTAAGTGCTCATATCAATTAGAGGAACAAATTAATAATGGCTTTCACATTTCTTTGTGGTAATTCAAGTTTCAAGATGGAACTTCAACATATAACAAATACAAAGTCAAAGGTTAACACAGCCCTAATCAAGCCAAAATCCAAGTCAAGGAAGTGATTTAATAATAGAAGTATTCTGCAAAATAAATTAAAAAAACCAAAACAAGTAAAGGTTTAAGACATACATGATTTGAATATTTTAATTGTGACAGTATTGCATAGCAAGGATGGGTCAGAAGTGTAGTATACCATAATTAAATTTCATATTCCAAAACAAAGAATCTGAACGAAATTTATTTTAAATTGCCTTGGAGTTAAGTAAATTGTTTTTTTTCAATTCTTACATATATCTTTATAATTACTATAAAACAAAAAAATACCTGGCATTCAAGTCTTTCATTTTTAATATGTTGGTTCTGCGTATTTCTAGAAAAAAAGGTTTCTTGGATTTTTTTTATTGATTTTAAAATAATTTAACGTTTAGACATGAACTGTAAGATAGTCATTTAAAAATAGGTCAAAGTCTCAAATGGCTGGGTTGCAATATTTGTGACTAGATTTTGCTGAAAATGATTAAGTTCCATAGTCTGGAAAAATGAGAAAACATTCCATAATGAAAAATTCCATAATGGCAATGCAAAACTTCAACATATGTGCAATCTTCTGGTGACGTTTCAGGGATCTGGCTTGAAAACTGAAGGAGGAATTTTGCAGAAAAATGAATAAGTTCCCAAGTCTGGAAAAATGAAAAAATCCTCTAACAATTCCATTATAGCAGATACATAACTTCAACATATGTACAATCTTCCTGTGAATAATTTGAAGATTGGATGGTGACCATTAGTTGTTAACATCTGCATCCTTTTGGTCTCTGGTGGATATTTGTGTCATTGACAATCAAACCACTACTCCTTAATTGTATATGGTAACTAACATATTGAACTGTGAAGTTTTCAACTGACAGCTAGTAATAATGAAACATTAAGTGTATGAAGGCTTTATTTTATCATACTATCACATATTGCAGTTAAAAAGTAAATAATAGTAAGAGTTTCAGTGATTCAGAATGGCAAGGCATTGTACAGCAAAGTATTGAAAATAGAATCTGATTATATTTTGTAAACATTTGGCAGATACTCTGTTTAGACATGCAGATGTTCAAAAATCATGAATGTCAATCAATGTAGAAACTCATTATTGGATATAAAAATAGATAAATACTTGCTTACATTCTATTAAAAAAATATTCAAAGATCAGAGCTGAAAATTAAATTTTCCTTCAGATTACAAGACTACTGGTAAAAACAATCAACTAACAAATTGCCCAAACCAGCAGACAAAAGTATCATTGTTTAATTATATCTTATTACATATGATACAGTAGTGAATTAATGTTTGATATATGTGTGTCTTTGCATATCATACTCCATATTTTCTTTTATTGATACTGTTTTGATTTTGCCATTCAAAATTGTTTTGCTAGGAAGATGTTTCATTGGTACTTTTAATTCTCCATCATGAAAGCTAGCAGTGTAAAAGCTATAGTTATAGCTTACAAATTGTATGATTAGTGTTACATATGTAAAGAATTCACCTATTTCCTTTACTATGTCTTTTGCACAAATTTCTCATTATTATCAGCTATCTGAAACATATTAAATTTACCTATTAACATTAAGAGATCCCATTTCTAGTAAAAGTCAGATATCAACATTTTTATCTTATTTTTCACGTTTGTTTTTTAGTACAAAATCACTATCGTCTTTTAATAGTTAATAGGCGATTCCTTATTTGGATAAAATTTCAAAAGTATGTATAAAAAAAACACTGATTACTTGGAATCAATATAAATATTAAAAATCCATCTACAGTTCTGTCATAAATAACACCACCATTTTTGTTATATATTTGGAACTTTTGCATCAATAATATTAATAACTAAATTTATCTCACTGAAATTCTCAAAATTTAAGGGAACGTCAGATTACTTTAACATTAAATATGTTTTTGCCTTTAGTATTGATAAACAAAGTAATATACTTTAAATTTCATATCTAAAGTTTAATATTTTTCATTCATAAAATAAAAATCAAAGGACAATGACAGGTTCTACCTTAAGACTGCAATGTTTGGAATGTAATTAGTATCACTATGTAGTTTATAAATGAGACTACATTTTAATTAGAAATTCATAATCATACCGAGGAAAAAGTACAAACATAAAATAAATATATTTCTATCAAAATGTATCAATAAATTACGAACAAAATAAAAGTATAAACAACAACCATTAAAATATAGAAAGACATCATGTAAAAAAGAATATCACATTGTTATACATTACAGATTTGTTCAATATATAATTGATATTAAAAGTAAGACAAATAAGAGACAGCAAGTCAAGAGAATAAATAAAAAAAAAAAAACATTTAAAATTCATTTTGTTGTTGTAAAAAGTAAAGATATTCAATAAAATGTATTTCAGTTCAGACTAACATTATATGTTAACTGCACAAATAGAAAAAATGTGATTGTAACAGCTTATTGTTAAAAGTTTTGCACTATATTAAGTAGACTTTTTAAATTAAAGATATACACCTTTAATGACCAAATAAAAAGATATTAACTTTCTACAATAATCATTGGAGTCAAATTGAAGTAAATTAATGGAAAACTAAATCATATAGCACCAACTTCTACCAGAACAGATGACTATCTACAAAGAATTATGGTGAATTACATACATTTATCAATATTGGCACTATATCTAAAATTTCTTCTATCACAAAAGTTTCTTCAAACATTAAGTTTGATTTTCAATAAATACATTGCTTCTGCAATGGACGGATCAAAGCTATGTTAATATAAAAATAGCTAACAAATATATTTCTAGTAAGTACTGTTGGTAAAAATCTAAATATCAATATCAATTTGGATGAAATTCTAAAATATGTATAACATTTTCAATAAAAAAAATATATAAAAGACATAAATACTAATGTACCGCATTCATAATCTATACTACAAGTAATCAACTGATCTTTTTTCCTGACTCGACAGAACTTGTGGGTGATAGTACCCACAATTCAAAGTCTGTGGAAATTACAGAAGGCTGTGCCCAGTAAGCTTATTTCTGTACTACGAAATACATGTATATATTTTGATGTCTTTATGGCATGATAGTTTCTTTCTTTTGCAGATTGGAATTTATCATTGAGTATTAACATTCTGTTGTGGGATCCTGTCCTGGGAACTGAAATAAACATGAAATACACATCAGTGTAATTTGTGAATTACAGATAACTTTAGATTAGCTTTCATGAACATATTTTATTTTATAAGCACCAAATTTGTAGAGTTTATACAAACAGTTAAAACAAATAGATGAAGAAGGGAGTTGATATTTTACCTTGAAATCTGATACAATAATATTTTTTTAATGTAGAAACTAAGTATAATAACATTTCCATTTCTTCTACTTTCTGATTCTAACTGACAATTATTCTTCCATGAATGATTGAATTTCATATTAATGTATCCTAATTTGTACTAAACCAAATCTTATCATTCTAGCTCACAAGGTAACAGTCCACCTGAATACATGCCACCTGGCCAAGACTCATTAGTCTTGTTCTGACAAAGTCAGTCGTGCTCTTACTTCTAATGTTATAATCTTTTAAATACCCTGTCGATAATGATTATGTCTACATAATATTTACTGCAGCTCAATGTTGTAGTTCTATAAAAATATATTTCAATGACAACCAATGGTTTTGAGCAATGCCATAAATTGTTTGAAAGTTGTATATTTACCTGTCCACTTGATGTAAATCTAGGTGTTGATACATCTACCACTGGTCCAGTACTCCATACTTGTGGAGTTGAGACACCTGCAATTTGAGAAGAATTTCATTGCTTCAAACAAGATTTGTTATACAATTCAAATTTGGTTAAAGTAGTTTATATGAAATGAATGCTACTTTAATATTTAGAAAAACTCATTTTTTACACAATTATGCAAAAGCAAAACACCTGCCTCCTAAAAATGAATGCAGTGCAGATCTTAAGAGTTTTTCACTGCTTCTAAACAGAGTAATACAAAAAAACACCTGCTGAGTCGTAGACATGTGTATTGAGTTATTGTGTTATATATTTTCAAAATTCACAATGTCATATGTGAAATATTGCTATGCAGTATGGGTGTTGATCATTGCTGAAAGCTACGGTGACCTATAGTTGCTAATTTTTACGTCATTTGGTCTCTGGGAGAGAGTTGTCTCATTGGCAACCATACACCATCTTCTTATTTTTATATATATACAGAAATTACTAAATGCCTGAGGTTCAATTGCTCTATTCCATTGTCATCGACTCAATTCAGGTAGTCTTAGTCTATATCTTTAATTTAAAAATGTTGTGGTGCCAGTTACACCTCTCCTATTAAGTGTAGCATTACCTGATGGACGTGTTACCTCCCATGCACTTCCATCAACTACTGAAGATGGTGTCCTACTTCTTCTCTGGCCTTCTTTCTTTTTTGGCTTTGATTTACCTTTTGACCTGTAGAAAATAAACATAATTTAAAATGGCTGCAAACATAATTGATTAAAAAAAAACATCAAGTTATGGGTGCTATAAACAGTTTCGTATAAAAAACTAGGGGTTATTCCCCGACTAAAAATAACCATGGAGGGAAATCCCTTTTTATTCATATAATTGGTGAAAAAGTATCATGTTTTTTGTATTCGATTGTAAAAATTAGTTAATTAGCTTTCAAATTAAACAGGTTGAATGATTAAAATAATTTTAAAAATTAGATTAAATATTCATGTTTTGAGGGGAGACAACACTATAAACATCCTGTTTTTTTGGCAGTGAAAATTGAAAACTTATTTGCAGCCACTGTAGCTCTTTTCGAAGCAGGAAACCGTACCCTGAAACAAGATTTTTATTAAAGGCCAGGTAAAAACCTATGAATTTCATACAGTTTTGATTATGGGAAATGTGCCTGTATCATGTTAACATGGGTATGCACATGACCTGATTTCAGGTTTTTTATGTTCAGATTAGGCAACTTTTTCCCCATTTTCTCTGGATAGAACTTTTTTACTATATTAAAAGTACAGTATATTTTTATTTCAATATAAACTAGAGAAAATTCTGATTCCAGTAATATCTAGTTTTATACAAGTATCTTTATTAACCATTCCACCACTAAGGGTCACTTAGGCATGGTCCCTTAAAATATGACGTCATAGAAAAAAACTGTTGATTGCACCCTTAAAGGGTCAAACATATAATATAGTGAGGTTTTAGCATAGAAATGTTTACTGAATGGAGTAAAACAATTCTGAAAAATATCATATGGCATGCATACATTAATTTAAAAGCATCAGTTTGGTATATTTAATGCAAATATTACAGATTTGTACATAGCAACCAGATATAAGAAAACCAGACTGTGTGCAAATTTTGAAGTTTTTTCATCTTTTTGCGACGTCATAATATTTTTATTCATTCTCTCATATATTTGGAACCAAAAGTTGCACATGAAAAGTGTAGATTTTTTCTACTTTGACCTTTACTACTGATCAGTGTAACATACATTTTTATTCATTAAATTATATATTTGGTACTTTTTATAGTCAAATAGCTACAAGTGCCGTTCCTAAGAAATACACTATTTCAATATTTTTCTCAACTCAGCTACACCTTAGTTCATATAATACTAGGGACAAAATATGTTTAAAGTAACTTTATTTATGTTTATTTCATAGTTTTTATTCTATTTATTCAATAGAAACCCAATTTTATGATTTTTTTTCTTTGTATAACTGATGAAAATGTGATACAGGAAATGTTTGGAATATGCCAGTTTAACTATTTGCCACTGGCCAATATGCCAATACTATGCAACATAAAAAATGAGCCGTAGTTTCACTATCGATGGTCGCAATCCTTAAAGTAAGACATCATTTTAATCAATATAGTGTACAGATTCAGAAAAGTAGAGAATTTTTTATATATCGCATACAAAGTTTTGCTTAATGTTGCTATAAACAGTTTCGTATAAAAAACTAGGGGTTATTCCCCGACTAAAAATAACCATGGAGGGAAATCCCTTTTTATTCATATAATTGGTGAAAAAGTATCATGTTTTTTGTATTCGATTGTAAAAATTAGTTAATTAGCTTTCAAATTAAACAGGTTGAATGATTAAAATAATTTTAAAAATTAGATTAAATATTCATGTTTTGAGGGGAGACAACACTATAAACATCCTGTTTTTTTGGCAGTGAAAATTGAAAACTTATTTGCAGCCACTGTAGCTCTTTTCGAAGCAGGAAACCGTACCCTGAAACAAGATTTTTATTAAAGGCCAGGTAAAAACCTATGAATTTCATACAGTTTTGATTATGGGAAATGTGCCTGTATCATGTTAACATGGGTATGCACATGACCTGATTTCAGGTTTTTTATGTTCAGATTAGGCAACTTTTTCCCCATTTTCTCTGGATAGAACTTTTTTACTATATTAAAAGTACAGTATATTTTTATTTCAATATAAACTAGAGAAAATTCTGATTCCAGTAATATCTAGTTTTATACAAGTATCTTTATTAACCATTCCACCACTAAGGGTCACTTAGGCATGGTCCCTTAAAATATGACGTCATAGAAAAAAACTGTTGATTGCACCCTATGTCAATATTTAAGGGCACACTATACAGAAGCAGGGGCTGATAAGTACTGATTATCAGGTTGTCTGCATATTGATATTGTACAATATCAGCTGCGAGTCACAATATGAAGCTTTTTGTCAAGTGAGCGCAGCGATTGATAATATTGTGTCGAGCAGCTGATATTTTGCAATTTAAATATGATGAAAATCTGATAATCAATATATCTGATTGTATTTGTGTATTTTGCATGATAAAATCAAGTGTTTTCCATGTTTCACCAGCAAACCGGAAGATGACTTAATAAATTTGGGTCAAACTTATCAACATCGGTTCATTCATTATGACGTTGGTAATATGTCCTGGTTAAAGTTATTAAGTAAAATTGAGAATGGAAATGGGGAATGCGTCAAAGAGACAACAACCCGACCATAGAACAGACAACAGCAGAAGGTCACCAACAGGTCTTCAATGCAGCGAGAAATTCCCGCACCCGGAGGCGTCCTTCAGCTGGCCCCTAAACAAATATATATACTAGTTCAGTGATAATGAACGCCATACTAAATTCCAAATTGTACACAAGAAACTAAAATTAAAAATAATACAAGACTAACAAAGGCTAGAGGCTCCTGACTTGGGACAGGCGCAAACATGCGGCGGGGTTAAACATGTTTATGAGATCTCAACCCTCCCCCTATACCTCTAGCCAATGTAGAAAAGTAAACGCATAACAATACGCACATTAAAATTCAGTTCAAGAGAAGTCCGAGTCTGATGTCAGAAGATGTAACCAAAGAAAATAAACAAAATGACAATAATACATAAATAACAACAGACTACTAGCAGTTAACTGACATGCCAGCTCCAGACTTCAATTAAACTGATTGAAAGATTATGTCTTCATCATATGAATATCAGGCACAATCCTTCCCGTTAGGGGTTTAGTATCATACCATCATAACATATATGAGAAGAACATAACCCGTGTCATGCCAACAACTGGTTTTTAAATAATTGTGTTTAGTGCCGATGCAAAGACCCTATAAGTGAATCAATATTAACGCCAAAATATGCAATCTTTAATGACCTGACAACAGTATCGTAACTATATCCCTTCTTAATAAGTCTATTTAAAGGTTTTGTTAGCTTCAGAGGTGAATACTGACATTTTTGTGCTTTATAAAGAATATTTCCATAAAAAATTGGATGTGAAATACCTGAACGTATAAGAAGTCTGCATGTTGAGCTATATTTACGAATGATGTCCTTATACCGATGATAAAATTTAGTAAATGTTTTGACTAGTTTGTGATATCGAAAACCCTGGTGTAATAATTTTTCAGTAATACATAAATTTCTCTCGTTAAAATCTAAAACATTGTTACATACACGAGCGAATCGTACAAGTTGAGATATATAAACACCGTAAGATGGTGACAAGGGAACGTCACCATCTAAAAATGGATAATTAACGATAGGAAATGAAAAATCATCTCTTTTATCATATATTTTAGTATTAAGCTTTCCATTAATGATATAGATATCAAGATCGAGGAAAGGGCAGTGGTCATTGTTAGTATTAGCTTTATTTAAAGTAAGTTCAACAGGATAAATTTCTTTAGTATACATACTGAAGTCGTCATTATTGAGAGCCAAAATATCATCCAAATATCTAAAAGTATTATTAAATTTGTGTATCAGATGTTGTTTCGATGGGTCTTTGCTGATTTTTGTCATAAATTGTAACTCATAGCAATACAAAAAAAGGTCCGCAATAAGTGATGCACAGTTAGTCCCCATTGGAATTCCGATAACCTGACGATATACGGAATCTCCAAAGCGAACAAAAATGTTATCTAGTAAAAATTCAAGGGCATATATAGTATCAAAGCATGTCCAATTGACATAGTTTTTTTGTTTATTGCTACTAAAAAATGACCTAAAAGAGTTTGAACATATATATTCACATTCTGACTTTTTAAATGCCCATTTAATTAGGTGTGTGAATTTTTTCTTAATGAGAATGTGAGGCAATGTGGTATATAGGGTAGAAAAATCAAAACTTTGAACAGATTCAAAATCACCAATATATGCATGTAACTTATCAAGTACTTCCAACGAGTTCTTGACACTCCAAAAGTAATTAATTCCACTATTTTCGAAGGCCTTATTTGAACAATTTATTATCAGGTTTTTGATTGTACCAAGTGTACTGGTAAGAAGAATAGACAATTTAGTAGTGGAACAATGGCTTGAAGACGAAATAAATCTATATTTGTAAGGTGTTTTGTGTAGCTTCGGAAGCCAATACATAGTTGGGACTTTCATTGTATTTGGTTCTGCTTGTAAAGCGGTAGCTAAAAGTTTATGTTTGTTACAGATGTCGTTTTCTGAAAATGGAGTCAGTTGGAATGTTGGTGAATTGGTGATTTCTTTTTTCAGAACCTCAATGTAAAATTTACGTCAAACAATAATAATATTATTAGCAGCTTTATCGGCCGGGACAAAAACAAATTCCTTGGCTAGTTCTTTTAGTTTATGTTTGATACGAGAAATAGGTTTATTGTGGTTATTGTTAAGAGTAAAATGTTCTTTAAAATGTTGAATACGTATATCAACTATGTTCATTACTGAACTAAAAAAAGAGTCCAAAGATTTTTTGTCAGCTTTTTCCCGTTTTATCCATTTCAAACAGTAAGTATGGAGTGAGTCGTGGATGATATTACGACACTCATTCCAATTAATAATTGACGGGGGACGATATTTAGGTCCTTTACTGAGGAATGATTTTAACTCTCGGTCTTGAACGATGTTAAGATCTCCTGTTATAACATGGGAAATGGGTCCATAAATGTATTTGGAATTACTGCAATTACATGAAGAAGGTGTATTTTCACTGATATTAACATCTTTACACAATTGACTATAATTAAACACAAATTTCCGGGTAGATTTCTTGTAAATATAACAAATAAGAGGGAGCTCAGTATTATCAAAATATCCCGGAATTTGTTCTTTAACAGAATGGTCGTTAAAAATACCGGCAATATTTACAAAATCAAAACCTTTATTAACATACTTTATTTTAATAAACTGTTTTTTATGATCTTCAGGGCGATCAATTTTGGGAAACAGTTTAGAATAACAATATGCCATTATAATTTGAACGATTTCATACTTAGGACTGCTATATGAAATTGTGTTGCAATCCTCTAAAATTTTATTTAACTTATTAACCGGTAATGAACAGAGCTTTGTTAACAGATAATGTCTGCCGTTGTTTTTTGAAATAGAAATTAGGTCCGAAATATTGGTATGATTGGTCCGAAATTTTCTTTGATTGCGATTTTTTCTACGACCATGAGAACGGTTTTTACGAACAGTTTTAGAAACTATATCCAAAATGTTAACAGAATCGGTTCTTGATATATTACCAATTCCCATGATATTATCATTAAGACCAAGAGGGTAGACTGTCTGTAATTTTTTAATCCAATTTAATTCAATTATTTTCCGTGATCGTACAAACTTTGAATGAGATTCACCAGGCTGCTTATTTACTACTTCTAAAGGTTGAACTGCTAAATATTTAATAGGATGATTGTGCTTCTTATGGTGTTGATAAATGATACTTTTGAATTTATTGGGTCTTTTAAAACGATACAGATGTTCTTGAGTGCGTTTAGATAAATATCGTCCAGTTTCACCTACGTACTGAATACCACATCCCGGTTTGTTTCATGTGAGTAAATAAATAATACTGTTTGTTTTTCAAGTTATATCAGTTTCAAAATTTAAAGAAAATGTGCGACCATTAAACGTGGACCTTACCGTATTGTTGGTGGAAAGACGGGGACATGTAAGTCATTTTTTGGCATGACACTTATCGATAGAAGGGTAACCACCATTTTTATTGTTAAAAATGTTAGCGATGGTAGTATTTTTAGATAAGCGATTTTGAAGATTGAGACGTGTAGATACCCTTTGAACGAGTTTAGTATTTAATATTTTTCCATTTCTTAGCTTCATATTTGTTTTTTGTTTGTGAATTATATTAGAAAGGAGCAAAGACTGGCGTCCAGAATATGAACCAGCATACAATGAATTAAATTATGTAAAAATGATAAATCTGTTCGGCTAAAGATGTCAAACGCTATCCGTATTAATTACCCGAAAAAGAAAGGGTATATCAGGGTAGCGACTGACGTCTGACTAAATAGTAGAATGGGGCTGAATATTGAAATACTACTTTTTGATAAATATTCCTAAAGTAATGAACTAGAGAAGTTCTCGCTCGGACACACACTCCATAATCTAGTATATTATAAGAGCATAAACCTGAAGCACGGGGAGGCACTCTACTGTCTCCACACGGCACTAAAGACAAACTCTGTAAAAAATAAAATTGAGAATGGAAATGGGGAATGCGTCAAAGAGACAACAACCCGACCATAGAACAGACAACAGCAGAAGGTCACCAACAGGTCTTCAATGCAGCGAGAAATTCCCGCACCCGGAGGCGTCCTTCAGCTGGCCCCTAAACAAATATATATACTAGTTCAGTGATAATGAACGCCATACTAAATTCCAAATTGTACACAAGAAACTAAAATTAAAAATAATACAAGACTAACAAAGGCTAGAGGCTCCTGACTTGGGACAGGCGCAAAAATGCGGCGGGGTTAAACATGTTTATGAGATCTCAACCCTCCCCCTATACCTCTAGCCAATGTAGAAAAGTAAACGCATAACAATATGCACATTAAAATTCAGTTCAAGAGAAGTCCGAGTCTGATGTCAGAAGATGTAACCAAAGAAAATAAACAAAATGACAATAATACATAAATAACAACAGACTACTAGCAGTTAACTGACATGCCAGCTCCAGACTTCAATTAAACTGATTGAAAGATTATGTCTTCATCATATGAATATCAGGCACAATCCTTCCCGTTAGGGGTTTAGTATCATACCATCATAACATATATGAGAAGAACATAACCCGTGTCATGCCAACAACTGGTTTTTAAATAATTGTGTTTAGTGCCGATGCAAAGACCCTATAAGTGAATCAATATTAACGCCAAAATATGCAATCTTTAATGACCTGACAACAGTATCGTAACTATATCCCTTCTTAATAAGTCTATTTAAAGGTTTAGTTAGCTTCAGAGGTGAATACTGACATTTTTGTGCTTTATAAAGAATATTTCCATAAAAAATTGGATGTGAAATACCTGAACGTATAAGAAGTCTGCATGTTGAGCTATATTTACGAATGATGTCCTTATACCGATGATAAAATTTAGTAAATGTTTTGACTAGTTTGTGATATCGAAAACCCTGGTGTAATAATTTTTCAGTAATACATAAATTTCTCTCGTTAAAATCTAAAACATTGTTACATAGGCCAGGTTAACTATTTGACGTCACAAAGCCGTGATTTGCAATTTTATGAAGAGCTGAGCAGAGTAATACAGGCATTGGGAACACCGATAACTCATCCAAGTTTAACTTTTTTTTAGCAACGTTGCTAATAATGTACATCTGAGTTTCCCGTAAAACACATTATTTTACGCCAAAAACAGCAATACCATTTAAAAATTAAGTTTCCTGCTTTTAGCCAAAAAAAAAAACCATGCACATTGACCCCATTTCTTTCCATTTGCAATAGATTAGGTACTGCTTTCAAGAATGTTTTGTCATAATTCCACGAAAAAAATAGATGTTTTTCTACATGCATAAATTGTATTGACAAAAAAGCTTGGCCTTCTGTCAATTATAATAACATGCTTTCAGAACAATTATATCTTATTTTACCTCAAACTTGGAAACTACCATAAGAGCTTATAAAATAAGGAACACTTAAAAAAATAATAGATGAAATATCTCTTTTTTGTTTAAGAGCTTTACTATTTTATCGGTTTTGCAATATGAAAGTTGTGTTTTTACATCAAATAAAATATCTCAAAAAGTAAGTAATGAAACCATATTTTTCTTTGCATATTTCAATAGTGCATATAAAATTTAAATGGTGTAAAAATTTTAAGGAAAAATCAACAGATCTTTTCTGTATCGTATGCCCTTATAATTACATATTTATCTTGCTATCAACTTTAGTTAATTTAATGCATTTATTATATTAGCTGCATTGGAGAGAAATCTACCTTATGCAAGCGCACCTATACATGTACATGTATAAGACTTTGATTGATTTTAAAACATTCAGATACATTCAGATACTAAATAAAAGCTGAACTGTGGTTTGTTTGGTGGGGTTCTTATAACAACTCAATTTTCAAACAGTAACAGACTTATGGTAGAGATGTCTTCAATGCGAAATAGGTTAACAGATGTATTGATATTCAATTGCATAAGGTCGATTTCTATCCAACGCAGCTCATATAATATTCATTTGATTCAAAATTTATTTCAGTGTTTTCAGTGAGGTATGACAGAAAACTATACCTCTTTGGAGGTGTATCATCATCTCCCCCTTCATCTCCATCATCATCATCATCCTCCGATTCATCTAAAATCATAAAAAAATAATGGTACAAATGTTTTAGTCTTTAAAGTGAATTGATTTAAATGTGAATAAAGCATGTTGTAAGTCTCAAAATTTGAAAATTTTAGTTAAATCCCAATGACACAAATAAAAAAATTTATCAAATACTTTGCTTTTATTATTTGGGAAATGCTTAACAGAACACATCTATGTTGATATATACAATTAAACCAATTTCTTAGAATTGACTTTTAAAATTAACAACTATAACAAGTGGTGAACCTAACAACCATACAAAAGGACCAGCGGTTAACCTAACAACCATACAAAAGGACCAGCGGTGAACCTAACAACCATACAAAAGGACCAGCGGTGAACCTAACAACCATACAAAAGGAACAGCGGTGAACCTAACAACCATACAAAAGGGCCAGCAGTGAACCTAACAACCATACAAAAGGGCCAGTGGTGAACCTAACAACCATACAAAAGGGAAGAAGATACCATGGGGGGGAGGGGGGGAATCAGAAAATTAATGATAGTTGAAGAAGATGGACAACAATGTGGCCAATTAAATAAAAGACAAACAGGCATAAACAAGTCCACAAAACACTGCACAGAAAAATTTACTTCAACAAAACAGTAACCATCTATAGCTCTTGTCAGCCATAAAAATCTTGACCACATACCTTGTCCAGTCATTCTGAGAAGTAATCTCTTGATAGCTTTAATAGAATCCATCATGTCATCCTGTCTAAGTGATAGGTCTCTGATACCTTTATGTAAATCCTCTACTTCATTCTCAAACTTCTCTACAGACACAGTCTGACCATTAGATTCTGAATCTTCATCCTACAATACAAATATAAACATTAGACATCTACTTAACACTGTATCAACCTACTTATTATAAATACACCAACAAACTTTATATAATCTGAAAAAAACTTATACTAAAGGTAAATACTGTTCTAAAATATTTCAAACAAAGGTTTTATAAAAAGAATAACAAAAGTACAAAACATCAAGATATGTTCTATAAAAAATTTGTAAGGGGTTCCACGGAACCCTGTGTCTCACCTGCAATTGCTGCTGTCAGTTTAAAAGTGTAATGTTGACATAAAAAGTGAGTCCATTTATCAGTAAAATAAAGAATTTGAAAAAAAAATCAAGCTTTTTCTTTAGATGATGTTTCTTGGTCATGAATTTAGCTTCTGTCCAAATTTCATTTAATTCCATGTAGGTTTGACAAAGTTATTGATGTCGAAAAAATAACTTTAACCTCAGTCTACATCTGCTGTAAAAAACTAAGTCCATTTATCAGAAAAATACAGAAAAAAAAAATAAATATTTTCAAAATTTTGCTCTGGATGCTGTATTTTGGTCATAAAAAAGCTTCTGTCAAAATTTCATAAAATTCTATGAAGTTTTGACAAAGTTATTGATGACTGAAAAACTTGAACCTCAGACTAAATCTGAATGTTAACTTTAAAAAAAACTAATAAAATTGAGAATGGAAATGGGGAATGTGTCAAAGAGACAACAACCCGACCATAGAGCAGAAAACAGCCGAAGGCTATCCATTTATCAGTAAAATACGGAAAAATGAAAATAAATATTTGCAAGCTTTTGCTATGGATACTGTATTTTGGTCATAAACAAGCTTCTGTCAAAATTTCATAAAATTCCATGTAGGTTTGACAAAATTATTGATGTCTAAAAAAAACTTTAACCACAGACTAAACCTAAATGTTGATGACGCGGACAACGGAATCTAGGATCGCTAAGTCTCGCTTTTGCAAAATAAATTTTGACAAAAATCAACGTCTAGCTATAATGTGTAATTTGAGGGTAAATCTTTACAAATAATCACAATGGGATGATACATGCAATGTGTGAAAAACATGAAACTTTGTGTGCATCTTAAGGACATATTACAGGTGCTTTACCAGACAACTATCCAGTGTATACAAAAGTATGTGCACATGTACAGATACCTCTTTTACTGTAAACTTATAATCCCACAGAAATATAATCAACAACAAATCAAACCAAAGGATAGATGTCATAACGAAGAAATTTGTACCAATCAATGTTTGTGACAGGTCCTATGGACAGGTAATTGTAAAATGCAGGAGTTCCATAATAGCCAGTTTATGAGGTATCAACATACTCTTCTTGCTAGTGGAAAACTATTTTTTTCTTATCAAATTCTGTTAAATAATCACATACATACCTGCCAACATTTCAAAATGCCAAAGGGGGTTTAGCATGCAAGATGGCTCTCATTGTCCCATAAAACCTTTAAAGGGGCTTCAAATTTATTTTAATGTTTATTTGCTTCTTCATACTTTTACAATCATATACCCATGGTAAAATTGATTGTTTTGTTTTAAATTGTGGACAAATTGCTCTTTTAAAATTTCTAATTGGGGGTCTCAATGGCGGAAATCCCCCACAAATAGTTCTCGCTGCATTGAAGACCTGTTGGTGACCTTCTGCTGTTGTCTGTTCTATGGTCGGGTTGTTGTCTCTTTCACACATTCCCCATTTCCATTCTCAATTTTACAGTTGGCAGGTATGACCATAATGTTTTATACCATAATATTTTACGAGCATATTTCCATCCCTTAATCTGTCTCGATTCATGTTAATCTAGAAAAGCAAAATAATGCTTCTTGGCATATCACTGGGAACATTTCAGATGTATACTTAAACACTGGGAACATTGAAGATGTATACTTCAACAATGAAAACATTGAAGATATATACTTCAACACTGAGAACATTGCAGATGTATACTTAAACACTCAAAAGATCACAAACGTATACTTAAACACTCAGAAGATTACAGATGTGTACTTAAACACTCAGAAGATTACAGATGTGTACTTAAACACTCAGAAGATTACAGACGTGTACTTAAACACTCAGAAGATTACAGATGTAAACTTAAACAATGAGAACATTGCAGATGTATACTTAAACATGGATAATACTGCAGTTTTATACTTAAACACTGAGAACAAAACAGATGTATATTTAAACACTGAGAACATTTCAGATGTACACTTGAACACTGAGAACATTACAGATGTATACTAACAGTTCAGTTAGCATGCATGTTTTCAAACTATCTAGCAAAGCTGTTATAATATGTGTATACATATAAACCACCATCAAAACTGTTCATTTTGAATTTTCAAACAAAAGCTGCCTTTAAAATGTGTACAATTTACAAACATTATAAAGATAATTATCTTTTCACTATACATGTATTAATTTCTGTATTAACAATTCAATGTTCTACACTTTGTAATATCCTTTTTACAACTGATTTCTAATAGTGGCTCAAAATAATGTTTAATCTGGCCCAAATAAATCATTAGAGCCCAATTTAAGCAAGTTCATTATTCCAAAACATCTTGAAAATATTTTATTTCAAAAATAATTTAGAAGCTCAAAAATAAAAATTGGTATTAGGTATATACATATACAAAAAAGCACGCAGATATGAACAGCTTTGACAAGATGTAAAAAAATTCCACACCCATGGAACTACATCAATGGTTTAATCATTAAGATTGTGGTAGTTAGTTACCTTTGGTATAGGGAGAGTCTACAAACAACAACAACGACTATGTAAATAAGCACTATTATATAAGCACATTTATCATGACTGCACAGTTTTATGCATTATATGAAAATGAAATGAAAATGGTAAATTAAAACCATTATCATTTTTTAATATGCAAAGAAAAAAGCAAAGCAAAAAAAAAATCAAAATGAAGTTTGTTCCTTTCAGTTCTTTCATTGAGTTGAAATACCACAAAACAGGTCAAAGCAAACTTCTTTGCATTTTCGTCCTTTAGGTCTCGGTTGGTTGTTGTCTTATTGGCAATCATACCACATCTCCTTATTTGCATATTGTGTAACTGTAAAAATTGTATTACAATTTCTATTTTTATGAACTTGCATGAGTGTGACATATTTTAAATTATGATATTGTCATAATGAGCATCTGTTGCAATAAAATTGGTATCATTAATGTTAGTATAGAGTTGGAGAACAATATGCTATGATTAATTTTGAATGTATACAATAATGGCAGTTTTTTGGCATGTCTGTGACAGAAATAACATTTCAGAATTAAAATCATGATACTAAACAAATTTAAAAGAGTGAAGAAAATTTCACAAATTCTCCCCTCATATGTGCTCTGTCAGCAAAAGATAAATTAAATGTTAACTAAAAATTTAAAAAATTAAACAAGTAGTAAGCAAAGGTCAAATAAAATTCAATCAGTGTTAAATATTTACATAAAATAAAGATTAGTAATTGCAATAATGTACATTTAACAGAGGATTATAAGTAAACATAAATGGCTACCTTTTGACCGGAAGGCTTAAAGCTTTCACTCCATTTTTCTTCTAGATCATCTAATTGTTCCTATATAAAAATAATTAAAAAAAAGATCCATCCTCAGTTTATGTATGTCTAAGGGATTAATAACATGTAAATTACAGTAGGTCAAATCCGTGTGAAAAGTATATCGATTCAGACAAACAGATTTAGATTTACCAGTCCATCAAACTGTCAAAGTTTGATGTCTTAACCCGGAACTTCAGTAAATTTTTTTTAAATGAAACTGACAGACATATCATTAACATACAAGAAGAAAAGCAAAGGGCCTATTATGTACACCACAAGTAATATTCATAAGATCAGATTAAGTCCCATTTATTCTACTAGTAACAAGTTGCTTTTTTGCTGGATAGTTAGGACTCTAATCATTTGATGTTTTTGATGCCGATAGGTTTTAGATTTTTAACAACAATTTAATAAAAAATCAAGCATAAGTTCATGTACATCTAAGAACTCAATAAAATGTAAATCACATATCCAATTCATGCAAAAAATATACGTTTCAGACAAACAGATTCAAATTAACAGCCCATCAAAACTGTATAGTTCCTTTCATTTTCTAATTTATTTACATTAAAAAGTCCATGGTCAATTTAATAAAAAGAATAACTAGTCCAAGAATTAAAATAAAGAAAAATATTCAACTCGTGACCAAACAACACTGATAATTTACACATGCGCTACGCGCAATCATAAATTAATGTGTTGTTTGGTCACTCGTTGAATATTTTTCTATATTTGAATTATTTGATTAGTTATTCAATAATGATAATTAAAATCTCAGAAATAATCAGTGGTCATCAGAATTAGATCAGAAATGTTATCATTCCTATTTGAATAAGTTAGTTACACAGATGAAAGCAAGGATAAATCTTTTCACATATCTATATAATAACTTTTGTTTAAACAAGTTTATTTTGGCACAAAATATTTGAATATTAACAAGATGCTATTAGATCTCACAATTCATATTCCCTATACCCATTTAGTCTCTTTCAGAAGAAGAAATGTGAAATCTGAAAATGCAATGTAACAAAAATATTTTTGTTTGTGCTCCCCTGAAACTATAAATTCCCCATAACAGTGAAAAAACCCATCAAAATTAGTTGTTTTCTTTTCAAGATTGAAGACTTTCATTTATCCAAATTGTACAACTCTTAATCAGTTATTTCAAATTTCTGTTGATTCTTTCAATGAATTTTAATCAGAAATTGGTAACTCCCCCCTAAAAACCAAAATTCAAGTCTTTCTTCCAACCTACATACTTTAATCGAAATAGTGCTTTTCCATCTGAATGTTAACGTACCTTAATCTGAATTGTGACCTTTGTCAGATCTTCTCCATCAGCGTCTGTCATATCATCATCATAATATTGTTTTAGCGGTGAACAATTTGCACTTATATAGTGAAGAAATTTATCTCGACTACTGTGAGACATGCCTTCCCAGAAACTTATGATTGACTGAGCTTTCTGCATCATAGCATTTGCCTGTGCATTATCATATACTCTGCAAATAATCGAGAAATGAAACTGACAAAACATGGTTATTTTAAGAAAAACTGACTTTATATGCAAAACCAAGAAGCAAAGGTCATGATATAGGCAATTATTGGAAAAATAAGCTGCATTTTATTAAAAAAGTTAAAGCAATAAAAAAGAAATCTTTATTATTCAACTACATCAAGCAAATTTGAAAATAGGGAAATTAAATCTCTGTGAAGGGGCTAGAAAAGGCTAAACACGAAATAAAGTATCCACAAAAATAAGTTAGTTTACCGTATCTTTGAATGGAAAATAATTCTGCGTTCATCTACCAAGTTTTGAAAGTGAGGTTGTAATTCAGTGGTTGTCGTTCGTTTCTGTGTATCATATTTGTTTTTCGTTCATTATTTTGAACATAATATAGGACGTTTGTTTTCTCGTTTGAATTGTTTTACGTTTGTCATTTCGGGGCTTTTATAGCTATGCGGTATGGGTTTTGCTCATTGTTGAAGGCTGAACGGTGACCTATAGTTAATTTCTGTGTCATTTGGTCTCTTGTGGACAGTTGTCTCGTTGGCAATTAAACCACATCTTCTTATTTTTATATTGGTATATTACAGTAAATAAACTTTTTTCAAGGATTACTAGAATCTTGGAAAACTAAGTAGAATATCTGGGACAGTATATGTCAAGGAAATAAGAGAAAGACAAGTATAGGTTGCACTTGGTAAATACAGCTGTTTCATAAGCCACGCCTCTTTTGGGGAGATATATAATATTCATAGATATTTTGTTTTGTTTACGTACTGGGACCCAGATATGATCTCTATGTTTCATCTTATAGAGAAATAACTTGGGAATGTTACCAGTATAAAAACAGATGGTAACGACGATAATTGAAATCTGAGGGACACCCAAAGTGGAGGTAGGGATAGTACAGAATTTTAGTATATGTTTAAACTCTTAGAAGTTCGGGGCATATAAATGTTGAAAATATGCCGCAGAGTCCATTGTTTTGACCTTTGAATAAAAAAGTAGTGCATATCAACTTTCTGTTCTAGAATATAATTTTTAACAAAACTTCATAGTAAAAGTAGCACAGCTTTAGCTGCAAAGGGAGTTCCTATGGGAAATTGCATTGTCTATATTTACAGAAGTGCAACCTATAACAATGCAAACTTCCACTTAAATCAACCAAATCTGTCTATAAAAATGTTTTACTTACCTTTGAAATGTGTCAGATAACAAGGCAATGAAGAGATTGAGACATAAAACAGCTGACAGAGCTAACCAAAGACCAACCAATAGTCTGGCCATCAAAGGATCAATTATTAACATATTCTACAAATATCATAAATAATTATAAAACAGCTGACAGAGCTAATTAAAGACCAACCAATAGTCTGGCCATTAAAGCATCAATTATCAACATATTCTACAAATATTATAAATGATTATGAAACAGCTAACAGAGCTTACCAAAGACCAACCAATAGTCTGACCATTAAAGGATCAATGGTTAACATACTCTACAAATTAATAAATTATCATTATATGATTTCAACATATAAATGATGCCTAATGTTTTTTTCCTAATAAGATGGAAATTTTGGGTAATGAACATCTTTACTAAGTTTCCAGTTGATGTTACCACAAATTCATGGTAAAAATTTTTAAACCAAAACTTTAACCTTATCAAGAAAGGACAGGCAGATGAATTGATTAATGAACTAAAGGACAGACAGGCAGACTGACGGGACAACATAATACCCCCTGCCATCTTAAACAAGGCATATACATTATCTCATAAAGCTTCATACAAAACTTGACAAAGTAATGAACAGAGTGCTAATATAATCATAGGACTGTAATAATCAAATATCACTGATATACCTATGGTTGTCTTAAATATGAACCAAAATGTGAAACATAATGTCAGGCAATTGTTATCTCATTTCAAATGTGATTTATGGTGGTCAAAGGTTATCTGTGTTTTTTTCATTTTAGAAGATATCATTTTCATAACTCTTTTTGCATAATTCATTTTGCACATATTTAAAAAATATATGTCATTTGATTGCTGTCTCCTACACCTTATTGCTATTTAGTCCAATCTGGAAAAAAACAGTCACTTTGACAACTTCCTGTTTGGGTCATGTCACAAAAACAAAGGTCATCAGTAATGAGCTAAGGGAGGGAAAAGTTTAATTAGAAAGTGAACATTGGGAAATTTTGATAGTTTATGGTCCAATCTTTTTTAACACAAATTAAAAGTAATAAAAATGCTTTGTTTAAAGTGTTTAGGATAGTTTAAACATGTCTCTTTGAAAATTTTTATGCACAATACATTGTAAAAACAGGGTCCTAGATAGCTTCAACTGCTTTGTGAAATTGTGATATCAACAAAAAAAGTTGTGCAATTTAAGAACTTATCTGTTTTGGAATAAATAGCGATAAGGTGTATTGATACATACCCCATATCTCTTCTTATTTATATTGAGATAAATAAACATTACATCACATTATGAACTTGACAATAAAGCTCAGAAAATTTACAGTTTGATTCATATACTTACATCAAAATCATAATCATCAACCATAGTTAATCTGAACAAACTGAAGAGGGCGCTATTGAAATCTTCATATCCTGACACAGTAACATTATCGGCTTTAACAACAACATTTCCGGAATAAGCTACTTTATTTCCACCAAATATCATGTAGAATGCAAACACTGAAATTGTTATTAACATGTTAATCTTTCAATTAGCCAACTATTGTATGAATAACAAGTATACAAATAAATGTTTGCATGTACAAATAAGGTGTGTGGTAACCCTGAATTAATCTTGAACAAAAGGTATTAATCCACTGCATGTTAATATTGATACATTTGATTGGTTGAGACTATCCCAAGTGACTTTGAACAAAACTTCATATTCCCCTCTGAACGTCAAGACTTCCTAGTGCGATGTTACGCACGTTTAATGTTTATAACATTTTGATTTTTTTTTTTTTTAATAGAGGTACATGTAGTAGAGTAATATCGTTTTCAAAATTATTTCAGATCTAAAAAATAAAAGAATAGATAATGCACTTTTGATCAGCAATGCCCTCGTGAAATATGAATTTTCTTGGGTGAACAAATCTTCATATCTCAATCAGGCACGGGAAATAAATGTATAATGTTAATGTTACTTTTTAAGTAGCAGTTTTTTATGGGTCCTCTTTCTCATCCTTGTTTAAGCCATGTCAATTTCTATTTACAAGACCACTGAGGCAGTTGGATGACAATGATGTTGCATGTGGTATTTTTCTTTTTAAAATTTTCTCATATCTCCTTGATTTCATATTTGAATGATTATTATACTGTGAATACATGAATACAATACCATTTTGATAAAGACTTTTTCAAATTTAGGGACAAAGTTAAATAAATCTTCAAATCTATCTCCGCAAGACCTAAACTTAACCAAAAAATAATCCATGGACACTGAATATGAAACTAAGGTCACTATATAATAAACTTCATATATTTTGAGTAAATCACTTAAAGTTTTCATCAATATCACATGCCCAATACATGCTCATGCCATGTCATGCAGAACAAAAAAATTGCATTATGCTTGAATAAATAAATATTAATGAAATCCTTGAACTAAGTTGCACGGAAAAGTTACTTGTAGTCTGTGAGCTGCATGATCAAGCTACCAAGCTGACGTATACTCTGTCTCAAGAGTTTGTATAATACAAGGTTTTCAGATATCAAACTTTTATATTTTTACACTTACCAAATGGAATGAAGAATTCCAAGTAAAGGAATGTAAATCGTACCAGATCTTTTAACATATGAGTTAACATTACTATAAATGGACCTGTAAAATATAAAAACATGTATTGAATAAACACTTGAATTAAAAATTAAAATAGTACTATATATATATATATATATATTAAAGATTCCTTTAAAGGATGTTTAGTTTTGAAATTTGAATTTCAACACAAAGACTAGTAGAAAATTGATGAAATAAATTTGTATCTTAATTTCAATGACATTTTACTAAACATCGAACAATTTACATGTAAGTCAGCCAAAATCAATCAATTTTCATCAGTATTTTAGGCTTACCAAGTAAAGAAAAACATCTGACATTTTTCATCAGCCTGAGCCATAGTAATATGATAGTGACTGCCATCAGTCTGATGTGTGCTCTTGCTACATCTGTTTTGTGGTCCACAACATCAGCTATGTGGGTGGCAATACACACCATTAGAAACAAGTAACAGGTCCAATCAAATATATTCCTGTCAAAATAAAATGGACATCTTTTTTTAAAAACAATAGAAATTTATCTGGGTTCAAGTCTATTATGATCATTGACCAAAGAATAAAGTTTGTTTTTAAGTAAGGCAAAAAGTAAAATACCGAACTTGCAAAGAAAATTCAAAACGGAAACCTTTTAGCAAATGGCAAAATCAATAGCTCAAACACATCAAACGAATGGAAAACTGTACTTTCTTGCTGGCTGTAAGTTTTCAACCCTAGTAAACATGTGTTGCCTAGAGTAGCATAAGTATCCCTCTCTGCTGCAAAATATAGTGGGTTCTTACTATCATATTCGGTAGAGATGCATATAAAATAATTTACCAAAAATCTGTAAAGTAAGATGGTCCTCTGTTCTTTAGTTCATCTTTTTCTGATATAAGAAAGGCTTTCTCTTCTGGCCATCGTTCATGGCAGTACTTCAAGTCTGCATCAATTTCATTTGAGCGTGTTGTTTCCCATAACTAGAAGGCATTAGAAGATGAGCTATATATGCATGTCTGACCAAAACATCTACTTTTACTACATTGTTTTATTTTTCTTCAGTGTTGGTAATTTTACCTTGCAAAAATGGTGATTGTAATACTGGCTACTTCTTATGGTATTTTATTCTAAAGCAATAGTTATTTTCAAATATTTAAAATTCACTTATTTATGATATTGTCTAATTAATAACAGACTTCAAAATCTAAATATTATTATAATTAAAAAAAATAAACTGTTATCACAGAGATATGTCTCGCTTTTTTGTAATTTCGATAATGCAAATGTTGAAATTAAAATAGCAACACTTTAACATGTAAGTTTTGCAAATATTCAAAGTCAATGAACCATGACTGAAGGTACATGGCTAAACAATATCAATGGAAATGAGATGTGCCAATGCTGATACAACTGCATACCATATACTATTGACTTATCATATGCAGTTCCCTTTAAACAAACCTAAACACAAACTAATACATGAAAACTAAGCAAAATCTCAAAGTCAATAAACCATGACTGAGGGGACGGGGTCAAATAATCTCCATGGTAATGAGATGTGCCAATGCTAATACAACTGCATACCAAATATCATTGACCTACCACTAGTGGTTCGCCATAAACCGACCTAATCACAAACTTATACATGAAAACTAAGCAAAAGTTTCAAAGTCAATAGACCATAACTGAGGGGGCGGGGCCAAAAAATCTCCATGGTAATGAGATGTGCCAATACTAATACAACTGCATACCAAATATTTTGACTTACCACTAGTGGTTCACCATAAACTAGACCTAATCACAAACTAATACATTGTTGACGCCTCTGCCGACGCTGGAAACAGCATACCTATGTCTCGCTTTTTGAATCCGTCAAGCGAGACAAAAATGGAGAATGTGTCCATGGGACACAAATGATGCCCCCGCTTGCATACAACATTACAAAGGGACATAACAAGAATGGTAAAAGCGAGGCCACCCAAATTCGAACTTGATCTGAACTTTGTGGTAATAAGCATTGTGTTTAAGTTTCATAATATTTGGTTGAGTCAAAACTTGTTAGAGAACGGAAACAAAAAAATTCAGCAATTCTCCATTTGTAAAGGGGCATAACTCTAGAACAGTAAAGGTGACGCCACCCAAATTCAAACTTGATCTGTGTTTTGTGGTTATAAGCATTGTGTATAAGTTTCATAATATTTGGTTGAGGCAAACTAAAGTTAGAGAATGGAAACAAATTTTGGGACTTACATACATACAGACGGACGGATGGACGGACAGACACACAGACAGACTAGAGTAACACTTAATGCCCCCTCCCCTGTCAAATATCAGAGACCAACATTTTTTAAATTCAAAAATTACATTACCCTTAAATAACATACTTACATAGTTTTTGCGAAGGGATCTTTTATATTCTAAAACTTCTTCTATTATTTGCCATGTTGTAAAACCTATTGCAGCAACCTATAAATGATGTACATACATGCATATCAAATCTGACATAGAGGAGATTGTAGCATTCTGATTTTTCTTGTGTGAGATTTTACTGTAATGCCCTAAGGTTTAATTAAAAATCTTGTTTGAAATTTTGTCTATCAAATCAGACAATTCATTTAATAAATTCATGATTTCATACTAATGATGTAATGTGAGTATTATCTGGCATAAACAAAGCAATATCTGACTTTGAACATTGTAATTCAGTATATAAACATAAATAACTTATGAATTTTAAAGATAAAAATAAGGAGATGTAGTATGATTGCCAATGACACAACTATCCACCAGACTTCAAATGAAGAGGATGTAAGTAATTATAGGCAACTGTACAGCCTTCAACAATCATAAAAACCCATACTGTATAGTTAGCTATAAAAGGCCCCGACATGAAATATGTGATACAATTCAATGGAGAAATCTTAACAGCCTAATTTATAACAAAACAGTAAACAAATATGACAGACATGACAGACATGAACCAACGACAACCACTGAACTACAGGCTCATGACTTGGGACAGGCACATAAGAAATGTGGCGTGGTTAAACATGTTTGTGAGCACTCAATTCTCCCCCTAGCCTGTGACAGTGGTGTTACAGCACAACATAAGAACAAACTTTAAATAGATAAAGATAAGTCTTTATGCAAGAGATATTTCAGTCATAATGTGGTACTTACCCACAGTACAACTCTATACCACTGCTCCGGCATAATATATTCATGTCTTTCATCAAACTCAATGAAGATACCAATTAATGACCATAAAAGGATGTACACAAAATTGAGGAATAAATTCAGCCATGCTCTCCATCTATAAAACATACCAATATCATTTACAACTGTAGATTCTTTAAAGTTATCATTATTTTCCATTCTCAATATGTACATTATTCATCATTCCAAATGTTACTTTTTAAATCATATTCATATTCTACGAACAACTCATTTCATCATATATATTTACCGTTAAATCTATTGTGTAAAAAATGTAGAAATTATTATCCACATTGCATGATATTTTTTCTGTAATAAATTGATTTCTAAACAAGAGGTTCTAAGGACCCAGAATCACTCATCTCCAAAAAATATGCAACATCAAAACCAGTAGCAATAGGGGCAACCATCTGTCACATACTAATACTACTAAGTTTTGAAACTGATCCACTCAAAAAATCTTCATGAAATGTTGTAAAGTAATTAAAAGACAATTAAAGTAACCTATTAGCATTAGTAGAAGTCAATTGACGATTTATTACAATTGGTTTTCTTGTAGATATTGTCTTCCTGATTCTCTCTAACTATTATAAATTTCTAGATAATAGCCAAAAAAAAATATGCAAAAATAGCAACAAAAAAAGTCATTTAAAAAAAACTGCCATAAGGAGTGAATTGATATTTGGATCATGCTGATTAATTTGGAGATCTAATCTTGCTGTTCAATTTTGCTGTTTATAGTTTCTCTCTATCTATTATATTTTTTTTTTAAATTGCCAAAAAAACTATAAACATGTTTAAATTGTCAATTGAGAGCAATAAATCTTACAAGAAGTCCATTGAACTTTCTGTCATGTTAACTTATTTGTAGATCCTTGTTTGATGATACTTTATACTATGTCCAAGGTTAAAGCCACAAAAAAGGACCTCAATTGTCATCATTGGGTAATAACTGCAGAAAATGGTCAATTGATGACTTTGGTTATGTCAAGTTATTTGTAGATCTTCTCTTGTTGGTCATATTTATTATAGTTTTCATGATAATATAAACAAAAATAGTCATTTAAAGAGTCATTGACAATTTGGACCATTAGAAAGAATAGTAGATTATGGCATACCCAATATCAACACATTTTTTCTTTATCTGTGATAATTTAATTATATAAGCCAAAACAGATTGGTCTTGAGGTTTCAGAAGATGTTTTTTTTAAAGTTTACAACAAATGATTTTGTATGTGGTTTTTATACTAATGGTTTACTTTGCAGTATTCCCCCAAGCATAAAGCAACCGGATTCCTGGATGAAGACTGATGTTCAAATAGGATGATGTTGCTAAAAATAATTGCAACAAGGTAAATTAAATAAAAAAACAAGAGTGCACATGCTGAAATGTATTGTCTGCTTTACTTATAACTGAATGTCTGCTGACTGTCTGTAATATAAAGGTTTTACTACAACCATTTTCAATGAACCATGTTAATGAGGTCAAGGTCAGATAAACCCTGCCAGACAGATAGGTACACCTTACACCAAATATAGTTAGCATATTGCTTATGCTATCTGAGAAGCAGAAACAACCATGCAAACTTAACATTGACTAATTAACCATGAAAATGAAGTCAAGGTCAGATGAACAAGGCCAGACAGACATGAACACCTTACAAGCATTCCATATACCAAATATAATGTATTGCTTATAGTATCCTAGAAATAGACCAAAACACAAAAACTTAACATTGACCAATGAACCATGGAAATGATGTCAAGGTCAAATGAACCTTGCCAGACAGACATGTGCATCTTACAATCATTCCATACATCAAATATACATAATATAGTTGACCTTTTGCTAAACTGACAAAACTATGAAAACTTAACATTGACCAATGAACCATGAAAATGAGGTCAAGGTCATATGAAGCTGCCAAACAGACATGTTAACCTTACAATCATTCCATACACCATATATAGTTGACTATTGCTTATAGTATCTGAGATACAGACTTGACCATGAAAACTTAACCTTGATCACTGATCCATTAAATGAGGTGGGGTCAGGTGAACCCTGTCTGCTGGACATGTAGACATTGCAATGATCCTAAATACCAAATATAGTTATAGCTATCCTATTACCATACTCATAATAAGTATTTCACATGACAAAAAAAAAGTTGTTTTTTTTCAAGCAGTCACTAAACCATGAAAGTGAGGTCAAGAATAATGGACATATGACAGACGAAAATTTCGTAACATTAGGTATCTGGAGTCGGTTTCACAAAAAAACTTACGACTAAGATTGATCTTAAGTCATGAACAATTCAGTATACTTACGATCAATCTTAGTCGTAAGTTTTTTTGTGAAACTGACTGCTGCATACAAGGCATGAAGCATCCAGGTCTTCTACCTTCTTAAATATAAAGCTTTATAGTTTGTGCCGTCACTGGATTGTTATCCCTATATCTTCTATTCTGAGACTTTCGTCAAAGGGAAGACAATAAAACCTTATGGAAACTCCTTTTTGATTGGATGAAGGTGCAATGTGTTAAGATGCTCTAGGGAGAACACCAACTTAGGGAAGTTCATTATACATTATAATTTTAGAATTAATATTTTTCTGATATCAATATCTTGAGAAAAAGCTACCTCAATATTATAACAGCAGTAATATATAAAACTCTTTTTTTAGAGTTATAATATGAATGTACAAACCTTGCAAATCTAACCCACTGTGTGTTAATCAGTTTTATAAATGTTTTGTTCATCAATAAATCATATTGTTTATAGTTGACAGCTGCATTCAACTAAAAGTAAATAAAAAGGTTTTATTCATGAATAAATTTCATAAATTGTCAACACAGATGTATGTCTTGCCTGTGTAACCTAATCAAAAACTTTAATACATGTATTTGTTGACACGGACACCACCATCCCCATCAACAGAATGCATTATTTCCACTTCTGTGATGGTTTTTGCAGATGAGACATTTTATAGCAATTCAATTTGAAATGAAACAAGCATTGATAAAGAGTTGTTTAAACTGACTTGGTAGATCAAAATAATCTGGTACAGACATAGTACATGTATATCACAGAAAAGTCAGACCTTAGGTCTGATTCATTAAAAGATAAATTTCTGATTCTGTAAAGCACTTTATCCCCCTTCATAATAGAATACAAATGAAATATGAATAATACATTCTTTTAAAGTTCTAAGGAAAATGCAACCACCCACAAAAAATTGACTTGAGTGTCTCCCAACCTCCACCTCCCAAACACACAATCAATTTTGAAACCCTAAACTACTTCTACCCAATACTTACAGGAGTTACAGCAACAAGGTCTTTGTCAACTTCTAGAAATTCAATAAAAAAGAATCAAAATTATGATAAAGCTGACCTTTCATGTGCCTCAACTTCTATTAGGTCTAACATTATAATTTTCTAAGTAGTCAATATTTTGGCAATAGTTAAATTCTTTAATTTATCATAACTACCTTAAAAATATGTCATAAAACAAAGACTTAGGTAGGTTTTTTGTACATGTTTAGATATGTTTCAAGGTTTCTGAACTTTACTTCTTTTCCTTCTTGATTTAAATTGAACTGTCAGATTGCTTATAAATTGCATCATATGCAAACTTTCTCCAATTATATATATATATATTCCCTGATTATCATCATTTTTAACTAGTTATCTAAGAGTCCAATATAGCAAATCCAGTGTTCTAATCAACCTATTGTGTCCATCTAGTCAAATCTTGCAAATATACTTGGTACAATAAAAGATTTTTTATCTTAATTTGATTTTTGATCTTTTGGTTCCTCTTTGCATAAACATTCAGAAAGATTTGGTTAACTCTTCATGTAAAAACACATCCATTATGTCGTGTCTGTTATAAGAAAAATAAAAATTTCATTAACATGTTTTCATTTATGACAACCAAGGAAAAAACTTTTAATGTTAAAAACATAATAGTCTTACCTTTATCATGAACCATATGATGTAAATCATAGTACTGCTTCCTATTAGGTCTGTCACATGTCCAAAACTGGCTTAAAGCATCTTGTGCCTTGATAAATCATAAATACAATATATTAAATGTTTGACTGCAAGTTATATTAGTGTTAAAAGTTTTCTAAATTATCTACATTCATTTTTTTTAATATATACCGGTACAGTATTCTTTCTTAAATTTTCCATGGATACAATTAGATATTATAAAAAAACTAAAGTTCCAACTCCCTCAGACAAAGTTGACTTTAGTTGGATATGTCTATTCACTTTAGATCCCTTTTGGTCATAAAGCTTCATGTATATTCAAGTTTATATACAGTCTTGGCTCTCAAATTTTTGGGTATGACCATTCCTGATGATCACTCTGGCATCAAGGCCCCTCTACTATTGTTGAATGTTATGCAGTTATTTAGAATGTTTCACTTTAAAATAATAATTGTAAATTCAGAAATTACTGTGTGCATTTATTATTGCCATTTTTAAAGAAATGGCAAAAATGCAGATTAATCATTGCAATTTCAGGAAGATCTGCATACTGCAAATCTGTAGGGGGTCAGTAGCAAACTGTATAACAAATTAAACAGACACTAGACAGTTTCCTGCCAGGTTTTGAATAAATATAAACAATAATAGTAGGCGTGATGTCATGATACCACAATAAAATCTACTGACACCTTTCAGATTCATAGGGGTTTACAGCAGGGCTTCCAAAACGGACGTATTGTCCAGTAAATTATATAAATGACTTGTTGTGCCAAGGCTGAAATGCACATTTTAACATAGTTCAGAAAAAAAAAATTGGAAGTTTATGCAATTTTTTTGACCTGACTTTTGGCATAAAAACAGCCACACATTTTCAGTCATATAAGTGACATGATTAATAATTACTATCAAAACAAACCCTACTTTAATACCCTCTCATTACAATCAAGGTTAATTAGTTCTATGACAGCTGAAATTTACCTGTTCAGGCGACAGGTAAACTATTTTGTTCCGGACATTGTTCGGTCTATTTAAAGTTATTTTCTTAAATTTCAGTGGTTTGCATCTTATTAATTTAGTCAACAAGATTTAGATTATCAGAAAACGTATATAAATATGATTTGATGAAAATTTATAAAGGTAGTGATAAAGATTAAAAGTGAAAAATCACCAGAACTACGTTGTTTGAACTAGTACACAAGTGTGCATGTGCGCAGGTGTGAGATCTAATTATGCATCCGAATTTTCAAAAATGCTTAAAATATCATTGATACCTTTATCTCAGTATTTTCCTGAAGAAATAATGCGGAAAGAGCTACTTAAACTCAATCATGCTTTGTAAACGTACACGGATTTTATGCATCCGTCTCTCGTCCGTGTTTTACCATTGTCAAATCAACATCCGGTATTAGGAAATTGTACTTTTTAAAAACGAAAGTGAAGTTATTGACAACGTAATTTTGCACAAATAGAGAGTTTAAGGCAGATATTAGTACGCTGATGTTGCACAATTCGAATGGTGCACTGTCAATTTAACAGTTTTAAAAAAATTGTATAAAAAATCAAGTTAAATATTGTTTTTGTGTCAGTCATAGTATATATGATGCCCAACTGATAACTATGGTTGCCTTTTTAAAATCGGGATAAGACAAAAAAAAATGTCAAATATTTTTTGGAAGCCCTGGTTTACAGCGTTTAGCCAACCGAATCATCACTAATTTACCAGAGGTGCAATTAAAAATGTAGATTGGATCAAGGGTCCGGAAACGGTCATATATGCCAGACATGACCGATTTGGAAACTGAAAAGACCGAAATGATTTATTGGGATTTAGGTCTTTTTTTTTTTTTTTTACAGAAATAATTTCGGTCATTTCATTGAGATCAGGGTTTTATCGGTCGCCATTTTGAACTTATTTTTGTTTTCAGGTCATCAAGAAAAATGGATTTGTTTGAGACAAAATAAAAATTTTATTGATTTGTGTTAGTGATTTAATAATATTTATCATTAGTCTGTTGTTTATTCTATAATGTAAGTGAAAACAATGTACAGGACTCTGTCGAGTCACACCGTGGGGTAAGTCTGGGTTCAAGCCACTAGGTTTGTTTACATAGTAATTATCACCACTTGAGGATAGTAATCAATGTACAGGAAGTTTGAATTCGGCTTGGGTGTCGTTATTGTCTTGATTAAAGCCATAAAGGCCATGTACACAAATCTCACCTGTAAACACCTGTTAAGCAATAAAAACAATATGGCGATTTGCTGTGCATCAAATTTAACGTTTTAACCATTCTGACCTAGATTTTCCCAAAAAGATATTATTTTATTCATTAAAGAAGTCAAATAACACTGTTGACTCGAGAATCTGTCCATTTTTATCCAAATAAAACATATAATCCATTTATAATCGATCAGCTGATTTGGTCAACATTAGTTAAATATAGATTTATGTTTACTGAGTTTGCGCATGGAAAATGGGGATCAACATGGGTTAATTGATGATCTTATTTGAAAGATCGATTTTACTGTTAACTTTTCGGTAGGAAATGGCAGATAAAGATATTAATAGATTTACAAAAGTGGTCAAGCGTATAATTTATAGGAATGCAGAATTAAAAAAAAATGTTTAAAAAAGGAATTAAAACTAAATAACGTAATTTAGATTTGAAGCCATACAGCCTATTTTAGAAATATACTCAGCGAATGAACAATCTCGATTTCTTTTTGTTTTTTTTTGCACTTCCGATTTTTTGAAACCATCTTACTCACAGAATGTAATGGGCGTTATCCTTTCTTTTGTTTTCCTGGCTAAACTTCCGATTTTTACCCAAGTGAAGCCATACATTCTCTCTGGACTGTATTACAATGCAATTGTTTTTCATTGAACTGTTGTAATTGTGTACAAACTTCTGTTCAGATAAATTATTTATTTATTTAAAATCATGAATTTTATTATTAAATTCAATTGTTATCACTATACCAGACTTGAGTTATTTATTCAAAGAAAAGTTGAATCATAGTTTCCCCTTTTTGATCCTCTTATCGTAAACCAGGTGAATACACATTATCTTGTTGTGTATTAGGTAATCACTTACACTCATCCAAACAGCAGCAATTTGAACAATACAAACGATATATTGTACATGCAATAAGAAACTCAACACAGTTTATTAATTGGTTTACATAACTTTATTTCAAAATGATGAAACATGCCGTAATTATTCCTCTTTTAATTTATGCAAATTTAAAGGGTTATGCATACGACCTCAGTGATGCAATACACAACAACAAAACGTCTCCTCGTGTAGTTTCTAACTCAGAGACATCACTGTTACTGTTAGATCAGGGTACAGTTACACTTGTTTGACCCAATACTTCACAAAAAAGGACTTTACTTGTCCATGTGCAAGACTTGTCACCCTCAGAAAAATGCATTATTGTGCATCACGATATTATTACATCACAAAAAAAAATGACCGAAATGACTTGGGAAAATTTCCGGATCCTTGGATTGGATATCAGAAATTCTTATTGCAATACTCACCCAGTCACATTATTCACATTAATAAAACCCTCACAATAATTTCTGAATTTACAGTACGAGATTGAAAACCTACCACAGGAGGCATTTTAACTATCATCCAAGACAGACATATTTGTCCACTGACATCTCTTGTTGTAGCTGAGGCTTTGTTATTCAGCAAAATTTGAGCACTCTCACTTCTATCTGTAATAACAAAAGTATTATTAGATGAATTGAGAAAATGTGGTTTAATATGAAATAAATATTTATGTCCATATACTGTAATTACAAACGTAACAATGAAAACTGTGCAAACTTTCAAAGTCATTGGACCATGACGGAGCTGTCAGGGTCAAATAATCTCCATGGAAATTATTTGTGCCATACTTATACAATTGCATACCAAATTTAATTACTTACCATCAATGGTTCCTTTTAAACTGACCTAATCACAACTTTTAACATGTAAACTATTCAAAAGTTTAAAAAAAAAGCCATTGAACCATGATTGAGGAGGCAGGGCCAAATAATCTCAATGAAAATAAGATATACCAATGCTTATATAATTTCATACCAAATATCATTGATTTACCTTAGAGATTCCTCTTTCACTGACCTTATCACAAATGTTAACAATTGTTGAAGCTGCTGACACCAGAAACAGCATGCCCAAGTTTGGATTCCACAAAAGCGAGACTTAGACCAAATATTTTTAGAGGTCAACCTTACCGTTTTCAACAAAAGACAGATGTCTTTCCAATATGTCTAGTTGGAAATCACACCAATTCTAAAAAAAAACTCATAATAACTATAGACTATCACAGATCTGCCATCAATACCAAATTTTTAAAATAATAAAACCATAAGATACCACCACCACTGACAAGGTTCTTGACTTAGGAAAGTCGTGAATTTCTCACATGCTAACTGTGCAATTCAACTTTCATGGAGTGTTTAACCCTTACAATCCTAAATTCAATCACATACTATGAATGCTATATGACTGTCATACAAGTGAAAGGTTTAGTTAGCTATAAAACCAGGTTTAATCCACCATTTTCTACATAAGGAAATGCCTGTACCAAATCAGGAATATGACAGTTGTTTTCCATTCATTTGATGTGTTTGAGCTTTTGATTTTGCCATTTGATAAGGGACTTTTCGTTTTGAATTTTCCTTGGAGTTGGATATTTTGTTAACTTTACTTTATACTTACCCAATTGTGCAGCAACATAAAGAGGTGTTCTTTGTCTGTAATCTAATACATGTTCACCATCATACAAGCAGCCTCTTTTGATCAGTGTCTTTAAAGATTTTGCTGCATCATTTTTGGCTGCAAAATGGACAGCTGTCTGCATTTCTCCTTTAGTTTTTGCTTCTTTGTCAGCTATCAAGTGAAAAAAAGAGATGTGAATAAATTTACCTTATTAAGTAAAATTAAAAGAAAGAAACATGCAAGTTATGCAAATATTCAAAGTCGATGAACCATGACTGAAGGTACATGGCTAAACAATCTCCATAATTTGAGATGTGCCAATGCTAATACAATTGCATACCAAATACCATTGACTTATTATAAGTCGTTCCCTTTAAACAAACCTAAACACAAACATTAACTTGTAAACTATGTAAAAGTTTCAAAGTCAATGAACCATGATCAGGGGTGGGGCTATATAATCTCCATGGAAACAATAATTGCAAATGCCAAAAAATTTGCATACCAAATATCATTGACTTAACATTAGCAGTTCATCTTAGACTAATCTAATCACAAACTAATACATGTAAACTAAGCAAAAGTTTCAAAGTAAATAGACCATGACTAAGGGGGCAAAGCCAAATAATCTCCATGGAAATGAGATATGCCAATGCTTATACAACTGCATACCAAATATCATTGACCTACCACTAGTGGTTCCCCATAAATTCACCTAATCACAAACTTATACATGTAAACTATGAAAAGTTTCAAAGTCAATAGACCTTGACTGAGGGGGCGGGGCCAAATAATCTCCATGGTAATGAGATGTGCCAATGCTAATACAACTGCATACCAAATATCATTGACCTACCAATAGTGGTTCACCATGAACTAGACCTAATCACAAACTAATACATTGTTGACGCTGCCGCCGCCGCCAGAAACAGCATACCTATGTCTCGCTTTTTGACTCCTTCAAGGCGAGACAAAAACTTGTTTTAATCGAACATTTCCATTTGCAAAGTGCCTGTGACAAATGAGAAATATGACAGTCAGTCACCATATATAACAATGACATTCATTTGAAGAATTTTTACTTAACTTGGCCAGTAAATATGGACATCTGATTTGTATATTTATGTACAGTGACCTATAGTTGCTTAAATCTTCATCATTTGGACTTGGGGTGGGTAGTTCTCCCTTTGTTAACTACCTCCTCTTTTCTGTCTCATTGGCAATCCTACCACATCTCTTAATTCTATTTTGAAATTTTAGTACATTGGTTATTCCCCTTCATTTCTTAAGGAGTGAAAATAAGTCCCATAGATAGACAATGCATAATTTTGTCTGACATCACAAATAGGCTATGCAAAGAACTGAAATCTACTAAAGAATGGTAAATCGTTCTCAAAACATAATTTTTCAAAATTTGCCTCATTCAAAGTAAAAGAAGTTATCTGCATTTGGCTTTAGTTCCACAACTTCAGACAACAGTGGCAGTATACCTGTTAGTGTTATTAAAGGAGTGACAATGTTTTAAGGAATAAAAAACGTAAAATAACAGGGTAATACATTACATAGCAAATCACCACTTATAGTTTAATCATGTAGGGTACATCAGAAATATAAGTCAATTGCTGATTCAATCTAGGTAGAGGACTGAGACTGGCTTTAAAGTTGGCTCCAAGTTTTTGGAGCCAGAGCAGCCCCTGTCTTTGATACATAAAGTATTCTAGAAGTAATTATAATTTTTTGCAGGAAAAAATCTGCTGCAATGGTCAATGTTTGTAGGACATAAGATTAACACTAACAATAGGAGTCAGACCACCAATTACTCCCTCCAATTTAGAACATATGTGAAAGTAGGCCTACACGGACAAAAAATAGTGCATTTGATGTCATTGTTTACTTAAACTAACCAACAAATTGGCAGAAATGAAACTTTTGGTGAAAGAGAAATATATTAAGACCATTTTGAGCCAAAATTTACTTGTCTATGAGTTTGCATTCAACATTGAGGATTAATGCACTCCATAGTATACTAATTTAAGATTTCCAGAAAACCAGGGGTTATTTTTAGTGGTACCTCTATTCGGGAGACCTCTTCTTTCTTATATGATTTTAAACGCATGTTGAAAATTGGCATGTAGAAAGCTGATACATATACAAGATTTACCTCCCCTTTCCATCAAAACTTCACACATTTCAGGATAGTCAACAGCTGCTGCTACATGTAATGGTGTCCTACCAAGGTGATCAGGATGGTTTATATCGGCACCTTCATCAAGTAAAAATTTGGCTATATCTACATGCCACATTCGAGCAACCTATGAAATACAAAGCAATATCAAATTCATGATTGGGAATAATATACCGTATATTAGACAAAATATTATCAACTAACTTAAATATTTGTTGGATAAATGGATGGACAAGGTGAATGATCCAACCTTAAAGAGTGGGGATACTGGGGAATATTAAAATTTGTTTTTGTTATTTTCAAACTGTTTCATAAATATTCAACAAGAAATGTAGGAGTGGGTTTGTTTACAATTGCAATTTTCCATAAAATGTCTACTTCCAAAGGGAATAACTCCTGTAAAAATAGTTGACTAGCCCTTATTATGGAAAAATAGCTGATATAAATCTCATAAAAACCCAAAAAGAAATGAAGGCTTTCAATGCAATTTTCAAAATAATTTTTGTTTCCAATGGGCACTACTTCTTTAAAAATAGTTGATTTGCACTGTTTTTTATATCTTGTTAGAGTCATTTATGATAAAAACCACATATATAAATTTCATAAATAAGAAAAATAGGCTTGATTGGACGCACAATTTCATTTTCCATAGAATTTGCATTTCCATGAGACACAACTCCTTTTAAAAATTTTATCGGTAAAATTTGTTCAAGACAATGTTGAAATAAACATTTTATATTTAAATTTTATAGTAAATCTGGCAAGATTTGTGTGTGTGAGTGCATAAAAGACATGACTGGTATTTATATGTGCCATGTTTCTTGTTGCAGCTAGACAAAAAGCAGGGTAGGACTTTAACTTTCCATGGTTAATTATTTCCTTTTATTCTCACAATAAACAAAAATGTAAATAAAAGTGTTATGATGTTCAGCTGAGTTCAGAAGAACAATAAAAAAAAAACAGATATGGAGGCTTTTAAAATATTTCATATACAGAATTTATTATGATTTCTTACAAACTATCTCTTTACACTTCCATGAATATACTGGTAGAGCCTAGTTACTCTTGATGACTCAGTTCATGCCCATTATCATATAAAATGTCAAAAATATATCAAACCTCATGTAATAATGTCTGCCCATGCCTGTCTGAGCAATTTATATTGGCACCATTCCTTAGCAAACTTGATATAAATTCTAGGTCTACTACAGCATCTGCATTTTTGGACCGTCCAAGTTCTTTAAAATGATCAAACAGTGCCTTTGTCTGTGATGCAATCATGGTGCTGTTTTTCTTCTTAAATCCAGCATTCAAAGAATGAAGGACTTGGGGGTCAATTGCATCTAATCCTTGACCTTTATTTCCTGGTTGATTCCCATCATCCTCTGTACTTACACCTTTATAGAAAATAAACTTTTCACTAAATACCATCCAGTATTTAATAGCAACACCAAATTACTTTGAAACCAACTACCGGGTATCATTTGCAATTTATCTTCATTAAATTTTTGAGTGCAATAAGAAATAAATTAAAATTTCTATCTTTTAAAGACATGATATTTAGTAATTGCATTTGTACAACATTAATTAAAATAATTAGAAAAGAAATATGCTGTATAAAGAAATTTGCAAAATAAATTACAGTAAATAAAAAGTATAATACCAATTAAGAAATCACTTTCATCTAACTGTTGAAGTTAAAAGTATATTTCAAAGAATAAAAAAAAAAGCAATCTGAAAATCAATCTTTTTAAACATAACAAGATACTGTTTAAAGAAATTAAGTTTATATGTATCTCTCTAGAAAAGGACGTATTATTCTTTTTATATCGTTTTTTGTTTTGGGAAAATTTGTACATTACAACTTAAAAACAATGAAGCAACTTAATATCTTAATTGCTGTTTATGTTTATAAAATTGTAAGATGGGGATGAAATTGTCACAGTGATCCTTAATTTGTTGTTCAGAGCTATGCAAAATTGTAATCTTGTCCTTCCTCTATCCATTTTTTCTGAACAAGGCCTGTATTTGAAATTATTATATAGGGATGTACATGTATTGGTCAATACAGTATAATTGCTCTAGGTATTAACTGTGTTTGTCATGACAGATATGGGATACTGCAATTAATACACATATCCCTTAGGTGTTAATACTGCAATATATTGATATCTGAAAAAAAAACATAAAAATTACAGCAAATCCTTTATTTAATTGTGTAATGTAGGTCATAGTGATCTAATTGTTCTATACAAGACAACTGTAGTGGTGAAAAAAACAAATTAGAAAATTACCATATTTAAGGATTGTAGCACACTAGTAGTGAAATAAATAGGTTTCTGACAAAAGGAAGAAGAAACAAAACAAGTAAATCAATCATAGCATAGGTCAAAGTGACTTAAATGTTCCTCAACAACGTTTTTTCTCAGAAATGTATATACATTTTTGAAGATGAAAAAATTAACAGAAATCAAAACAGAATAAGATGCAAGTTTTAGTGACCATACATTGTAGAATAGCATAGTAGAGGGGGTGGACAGGGGGTACCCTTCTCCCACCTCCCACTTTTAGAAACTTTTTTTCTCTCTCCCCTCCTGCCCCCCCCCCCCCCTTTCCACCTCCCACCTCCCTCAAAAGCTGTCCACCCCTCATAGTACAACGAAGTGTTAAAAAATTTAGAGTGGTAACATATCATTGATACGTGTAAATCAATCATAAGCTTCTGAGTAATGGACTTTGAACTATTGTGAAAGAAAGGTCATAGTGGCCCAAATATTGGTAAAAAGTATTGAAACATGGCAGAAAATTGTACTTGTGAAACAATTTTTTATATTTCTTTTCGTGTTTGACTTAATTAAAAACCTTATCAGCATGTAGGTCATAGTGACACAGATGTGGATAAAAAGACGGAACTTTACATTCACCCTGAGAAATGGACTTAAATACAAAGTTTAATAAAAGAACAGAGTTCCAATGTCCGCTGTGTTGCACATATTTTATCTGTCCAATGGCAATAACTTTCAAAAAACGAATTTGGGGGTTCTTAAAAACTCTTTATAAATATCTTAGAGAAATGTAGGCATGAGATCGCTAACAATGTTATTTCCATATATTTCTATTTCTAAGGGCATAACACCTGTAAAAACAGTTGGTCAGCACTAATCCAAGACCTTGCTCAAATTAAAGCCTTTGATATAAACTTCATAAAAATTTGACAATAAATGAAGGCGTGGGAGTGTTTACAATGCAATTTACAATATGAATTACATTTCAAACTCCTAGATCAGCAGATTTTCAAACTCAACCATGACATTGCCGATAGAAACCTTTGATATAAATTTCATAACAATCCTTCAAGAAATGTAGGTGTGAGAGTGCTTACAATGCAACTTTTTATATAACAAATATTTCTAAGGGGCATAACTCTTTTAAAAATAGTTGATTGACAGTGATTTTCGAAAGGTGGCCAAGACATTGCTGATATAAACCTTGATATAAATGTCAAATATATCTAGAAAGAAATCGTAATTGTACAATTGAGAACACTTACAATATAATTTTCTATATATTAACAAGAAATGATTGTAACAGGATGCTGTTACGAAGTCTCCCAAACGAAGCTCCCATAATTCGAAATTTCCAGTGTCGCCTGACATTGGACAAAGTCCAGTGAAAATTGGTTTGGTCCAGTAAAGTATATGCATTAGTGATGCCTGAGGACTAACCCTGTATATCATTCAAATCATCTTGGCATGACAAACCAGAATATATATGGTTTAGGGGTGGGGATCTCGACCATTTACCGGTACAAGATACTAGAACATTGGGGGTGGGGGGAACCCCTGGGGACTGACCCTATACATCATTCAAAAGTTCGAGACACGACGAACAGGAATATATATGGTTAAGGGGTGGGGATCTCGACCATTTACAAGATATTAGAACATTGGAGGTGGGGGGAACCCCTGGGGACTGACCGTATACGTCATTCAAATGTTCGAGACATATGATGAACATGAATATATATGGTTTAGGGGTGGGGATCTCCACCATTTACAAGATATTAGAACTTTCTCAAATGGCAGGGGGTCGGGATGACCCCTGGGGACTAACCCTGTATTTCATTTGATGTGCTTTATCATGACAAACCAGAATATATATGGTTTAGGGGTGGGGATCTCGACCATTTACAAGATATTAGAACTTTCTCAAATGGCAGGGGGTCGGGATGACCCCTGGGGACTAACCCTGTATATCATTCAAACCATCATAGCATGACAAACCAGAATATATATGGTTTAGGGGTGGGGATCTTGACCACTTACAAGATATTAGAACTTTCTTAAATGGCAGGGGGTGGGGGTGACCCCTGGGGACTAACCCTGTATTTCATTTGATGTGCTTTATCATGACAAACCAGAATATATGGTTTAGGGGTGGGGATCTCGACCATTTACAAGATATTAGAACTTTCTCAAATGGCAGGGGGTCGGGATGACCCCTGGGGACTAACCCTGTATATCATTCAAACCATCATAGCATGACAAACCAGAATATATATGGTTATGGGGTGGGGATCTCGACCATTTACAAGATATTAGAACTTTCTCAAATGGCAGGGGGTCGGGATGACCCCTGGGGACTAACCCTGTATATCATTCAAACCATCATAGCATGACAAACCAGAATATATATGGTTTAGGGGTGGGGATCTTGACCACTTACAAGATATTAGAACTTTCTCAAATGGCAGGGGGTCGGGATGACCCCTGGGGACTAACCCTGTATATCATTCAAACCATCATAGCATGACAAACCAGAATATATATGGTTTAGGGGTGGGGATCTTGACCACTTACAAGATATTAGAATGTTCTTAAATGGCAGGGGGTGGGGGTGACCCCTGGGGACTAACCCTGTATTTCATTTGATGTGCTTTATCATGACAAACCAGAATATATATGGTTTAGGGGTGGGGATCTCCACCATTTACAAGATATTAGAACTTTCTCAAATGGCAGGGGGTCGGGATGACCCCTGGGGACTTACCCTGTATATCATTCAAACCATCTTAGCATGACAAACCAGAATATATATGGTTTAGTTGTGGGGATCTCAACCATTTAAAAGATATTAGAACTTTCTTAAATGGCAGGGGGTGGGGGTGACCCCTGGGGACTAACCCTGTATTTCATTTAATGTGCTTTATCATTTAGAACATTTTCAATTTAAAAGATTGTGTCTATCACAAACGGTTTTCAATTTATAATCATTTGAAAATTTAAAAAAATAAAATCCCATAGGGTTCTATAGTAAAACCCTCCTTTCTTTTTGCCCCTCAAAGTACCCCTTTATAAACCCCAATGCACAAACAAAACCCTGATTGCACCACTAGACATGTTAGTCTAGCATATTGTGAAACCCTAAGTTAATCTGACAAGCGGTTTTGGAGAACGGGTGCGGACAAGTTCAAATTTAAAAGCGGCGGAAGAAGAAGAAGAAGAAGAAGAAAAAGAAGAAGAAGAAAAAGAAGAAGAAGAAGAAGAATAATAATAATAAGAACTGAGCAAAACCAATAAGTCTTCCCAAACTTCGTTTGGGAGACTTAATTAACATATCCAAGGGGCATAACTACTCTTATAATAGTTGATCGGCACTGATTTTTGAACTTGTACCAGCAATTGTATAAAACTCTAATTTCTAAGGGACATAACTGATAAAAAATAATTGATCATAGCTGATTTTTTTAACTTTTCCAGATATAGCTGATAAAAACCATCAATATACATGTAAATTTCATAACAATCCTTCAAAGAAATGTAGGCTTGAGAGTGCTTACAATGCAATTTTCCATATAATTATTTTTAAGGGGCACAACTCTTTTATGAGTAGTAAATAAGCACTGATTTTTGTATTTGTCTGAGACATTGCAGATATAAACCTTTGATTTAAATTTCATAAATATCTGTCAAGAATTGTTCATGTGAGAGCCCTTACAAGACCAGACTGACACCCACTATTCTATGTTCCCCCCAACCTGTGGCACTGCTGACAATTAAACAGAGATGAATAAGTACAAACAGTTGAAAGAATATACAATGGTAAATCCATAAGAATAAGTCAATGACGCAGGAAGGACATGGAAAGCAATATGACATTAGAAAGTTGCAAGTATGCATGGTTAATTTTTCTAAAACAAACCTAATCATTGACTTTGCATGATAATTTTTATAAAAAAAAAGATTCAAACCTAATGGACTATTATGTACCAGGGGAAAGGAGCTAAATTATCTTTATTGAAAAGAGGTGTAATGTTATTAATATAAATGCAAAAAAAATAATCTTTGGCTAATAATTTGTGGATCCTGTCAAACTTAACTAATTCATAACTTCATTAAGTAAAGCAACACCCATGATGTTCCCCTGTGAATTAAGACATAACTTCTTTTACAGGCAAGACAAAAATGAATTAGTTAGGTGCACAATATTTTTACAAACTGGCCAAGTTGATCAGTCTGTTAGTTTAAAACATAAGCAAAAGCAGGAATATCAATTTCCTTAGATGTTAAAAAATCATATCATCTTCATGCCTCAAACTTACTTTTCTCAATTTTCTTCAACAATACCTGTTCTATTTAACAAAACAATGTTTTTTTATTGTAAGATTTAAGATCATAATAGACCAACTAATGTAATGTTCAAATAAAAACAATAATTACTTGTCTTATATCAATTTGTCAAATGCAGTACATGACTACATGTATATGTTAAGTGTATGAGTTAGAATTCAGTAGTGGAGTAGAAACCAGAATCCTCCTAGTACAAATCTGGGTAACCCAATTTATACTACACTGTTGATATTAAAAGTCTGATTTGTACTGGATTTCACTAAGTATAAATAAAAATTCAGATTTCTACCAGTAGATATTGAAATTTCAATTTGTACTAAAATGATCCTGTAAAAACAAAACTGTATGCATACCTGTCAACTTCTCAAAATCTCCATAGGAAATTTTCAGCACAAAATGACCTTAAGCATGTCTTTTACAATGTACATGCCATTAGTGTTTTTAATCTGATATCCTATAGTTTTCATTGAGTATGTATGTGCTTAAATGCAATTTGAACTGCTTTGCATTCCTGTTTTGAGATATAAGTTTATATAAATAATAGAGGATTTCAAGAACAACTTCAACACTTCTAATTATATATAATAGGGCCAAAAATAGAGAAAGTTGGCAGGTCTGTGTAACAGAATAACGAACAAAACATGTCATAAAAGTTACAGGTCAATAGTAACAGATTAAGAAAAAGTATAATAAAGATCAGCTCATGATAGAAAAACTAGAAAATTATCATGCCAGTAAGTTCCCACTTGGGAATGCCTGTTTAGGGGAAAGACTAAAGTATTTGAGCATTCCACTAAAAGTGGCTATTTATCCGAAACTGATTTCTTAATATCTTTAAAAGTGATAATTACAAATAAATATCATATTTTTAAAACCATGTGAAATTTCAATTCTTTCCAAGATAAACTGTAAGAGGAGATTTGTGCTCACCAAAATTAATTCCCAAAATTTTGAACTTTTGTGATTTAGTTAAATATAATTTCCAATTTTTCAAGAATGAGTGAAGTGCTCATCTTTCGAGTCCAAGCCAGACTAGAATTGTTTACCCTCACTAAATCTAAGTAATTCTCTAATGTGGGTATTTTGGTAAAAAAAAGTATTTAACCTAATAATACTATTCTATGATTAAATGAAAAAAAATGATATCCAGATGAACTTGATAATAATGCTCAATAATTTTGCAAAATTTACTCTCAGTACAAAAAAATTTGTAGAAGAATTTGCTCTCATACATTTCTCTAGATTTAAGATATTTATGTAAACACTTAGTTTTTATCTCAAATCAATTTGTACATTTTCATTAAAATATGATGTGCATATCTTTGTACGATACCTCACTAGTGTGCAAAATTTCATAAAGTACTAAGTTAACCAAACAGACAGGGCACAGAAATAGGTGGACAAAGAGAAACTATATGCTTAATGCATTGCAGGACTCTAATTCAAAACAGAAAACCTAAGAAAGATAGAAGCTATCATATATGCATTTACATCAGAATACTAAATATTAGGCTGAAAGATGTAATAACTGGTTTTGGGGAGATGCAGATCTAGACCTCTCACCTTTTAATTCACTTTCTAAAACGAAAAGATATTCACTTATGCACAAAATGCATCTTAGCTAAGTAGCAATTGACTTTTCAAGTTTGAGAGAAGTTTAACAAATAATTATAAAAAAAAAATTGAAAGACTTTCAATAAAGTTGATGATTTATTGATTAGAATATTGGTGTTTTTTAGAAAAATGTACATCCAGTGGTCTATCTTGTTTTTCCAAAATGTCAATGAGATTTTAGCCAATACACAAATTTACATTTGGGACTAAATACCTCAGAATTTCCTCCAATTCACCTGATGGGGCATAGGGAATTCCAGCATCTTAATCATTAAAAAAGGAAAATTTCTGAAGTTTAATTTGAACCTATTTAGCACAGTTAAAGCCAAATAAAATATGTGTTTACTACTGTGGTATAGACCATAATTAAAATAACATTTGGTGCAAATCCTGATTTACATATACTTTTTTCTAATTGCTGAAATAGCATTGTTGATATTAGAATCCTTTATACATAAAACAAATCATCCAGCCCTACTGAACATATCTTTTAAATCTGTAGTTCAACAGAAAATACAGATATATTTTTAGTCTAAATAAATATCTATATGTGTATTTCTGGTTTCATTTCATCTGTTTAAAAAAAAGTCATTAGACACCAAAGGGACAACCAAAAATCATAAGTCAAATAAAAAACAACAATACATTGCAAAAAAAAACCCAAAGGAACACCAAGACAAACAACAGTTTACAAACTACTACATAGATGCTCAAGATTGAGCAACACAAACCACAACAAATACAGGGGTTGATAGCAGGTGCTCTGGAAGGGTATGAAGATCCTGCTCCACATGTGGCACCTGTCATACTGCTCATGGAATGTATAAATTGGGTAAAAAGTATCATCCAGTATTGTCACAATCAGGGAAAGGAGAAAATGAGTGTGGCTAGACAATTGGAAATATCTATAACATAGATGTTCCATAACAGTCGACTAAATCATGATGGGGTCTGTAAAACTTTCGAAGGGATGACTTATATTTTACCACTAAGAGTAATTCTGAGGGTTATTTCTTTAGAAAAACTGTTACAATAGCTCAAAAATGTAGGCCATTTAGTCAAAATAATATGCAACAATTTTGGCCATTATAATCATTTGTAGATCTTGTCTTGCTGATCATCTTGGTTTTTAAGTGTTTATCTATCTACTAAGTTTTAAATGACAAAGAAAAACCAAAAAAATAATAATGTGTGGTGTGAGAAGTGACAATTATAAATACTTTCCCTGTGTATTGTGTTGTTTTGAGGTGCAACTGTGTGTTGAAAATATATGTGTATTCCTTCTTATAGGCATAAGGAGCAAGTGTATCTATAACATAGTGTTTCTCATCATAAATAGTAACCTAAGTTTACCAATGTACTATAAATACTACAGTTATGCAAACTTCAAATGAAGGCACAAAAGGAATGGAAAATATAATCCTTTTTTCTAGATTTCCAAAATCATTACAAACACATGTAATACATTCAGGTAAAATAAAATAGTTTATTATTTTACAATTTAAATCATTCCAAATTTTGCCAACATTTAAAGCAAGCTTTTATCTGTTACTGTTCATCAATTGTTGACTCAAATTTTCAGGGGGGAGGGGGTCATGAAAAAAAAAATAGAAATTTAATGCTCTATTTCTACTGACCCTATGAAAGAACTTTTCTCCCAAAAATAACCTTCAATAAGTTATCAAATAAGATGTAGGGTGTTTACCAATGTAAATTTATGGTTTATAATATCAAATCAAAATAGCGGTAGTTATAGATAATGAAAGAATTTTACAGATCAAATCATCAATTAATAATCTGTTCGAATAAGTACATTCTGAATTTTTTATGATATTCCCTAAGATATAAGATTGGAGCATTGTATTAAATGTCAAGGATTGCCATGAATGTTATTATTATAGACAGAACATTTAAAAATAAGAATTTAAAAACTGTTGCTTTAAATACAAAGCCAAACATGTTAGCCACTGCAGATTCATTAATTTTTGTGGGTACTAATTTTCATGGATTTGAGGAAAACTTGTGTTTTTTGTTGATACAAGTATTCGATTTCAAGGATATAAGTGAATGCAAAGACTGCATACATTCCGATAGAAAATTAGTAGTTCATTGAACATTTAAATTTGCAGTTCGCCTATACCCACAAAATCCATAAAAATTGGTATCCAACAAATAATAACGAATCCTCAGTATTTCATTTGTCAATGGTTAAGCCATACACAACATGCTGTTTTATATACTGCCTAAATTAATCTACATTCAAAAATTAGTAAATACATGTATATATAAACATGCATATCTTCAACAATTAAAAATTTCAAGCAATTTTGCTGATGAACAGTAACAGCCAAACAACCCAGTGGTGTGCTGTCTGTATCCTTAGAATTTTAAATAAAGCATGCACTACACCTAATTTACCTTTTGATTGTGCTTCTAACAAAATATCATAAAAGTTAATATATTCATAATATTGTAAGTCTATAACAATTTTAGTGTTCATTCTCTGGAATAACTTTAATCGATTTTGGAAAGATCAGTGACAAAACTACAGCAATCTAGCCATTTTCTAGATTTCTGCAATTTAGTAACCAGTGACCATTGAAATTTTTCAGCATTTTAGATGAGATCAAACTATAGTATAACTGTCTACTTCTTTATCTTACAGGAAAATGTTTATGGTAAATAAATCTGTTTTTCTTAGATTTTCTCATCATTTGAATGGTAATAAAAAAACAAATATTTGTTCAGTGGCACATGGTTATTTGACATTTTTTAATCAATACCAGTGCAATGGACATCTCGATCTGACTAGAGTCATAAATAGTGACAATTATTTTTACATGTATATATGGGTATGGCTAAGTCAGTTACCGGTCTTTAAATCATTTGTTTCATTTGACATTGATATTATTCCTAAAAACATTACACACAAAGTTTAACTACAGCAAACTTACTTGTCTTTGTGATAGCTCTTTTTGTAGCACAATATTGTCTCCATTTGTGTGCTCCTTTCTTTGCTTCTACAATTGCAGCCAGTGCATTCTTTTTTTTATTAGTTTCGTCTACCTTACTTCTAAATGTGTTTAGCATTTTACTAAAATGTATATAATAATAATATCAAGTGTTGTACGAGATTCTTTCCACAGAATGTTTTTTTTTTCCATGGGAAAAAAATAAATAGGTTAACGCAATACTGAAAACTAGCTACAGATCTTAATTACGAAATGTATTATTTTTGTTTAACAAAATCCTGCAATGAATTAAGTAAACAGTCTAGAGTTAATTTACTGTCTGATAATAAACTGTTATCCAAATGACAAGTCTTTGTATGATTTCTAAATCACAAATATAACAAAATTAACTGTTTTTCTGTATAGTATCCATTCTGCCAAAAAAATGTAAAAAACACAAGATTGTAGTTTAAATCAATCTATACCTGTTGTTTTTCACATTATGATCTGAATCCAAATGAAGCTCAAAGGAACTGTTAGCAAATCCATTTTCATCAGGTGCTACACTACCTTTTGCTCGTTTCCCTCTTTTCTTCCCATCCATTTTCTTGAATAAAATATAAATGTATGATTACTAAAGATATTAAAACAATTGTCTTTTGAATCATACACACATTGGAAAAAACTGTTCAGTGGAATAAAATTTACGGAAATGTTTTTGCTACTGTACATGTAGTTTATATCATTCTTATAGATTAAAAATTATATAGATTTACAAATGTAAAAAAAAAGTAAAATAAGTTTAATTTATTTGTGATGGGAACATTTATATTAATCCTCAATCAAGTGAAAGAAAAAAGTACTTTGTTCAAATAAATTTATTTAATTTTCAATTGCACACATTAACCCTTACCATGCTGTGCTCGTCATATGACGGGATTACCCAAACCAACGTTATTTGGCTCCAATGGCTCTCCATACTTTTAGAGGTCACCTTTATGATACTTATTTCGAAATTGATGCATGTTCCCTCACCCTGAGGCTATCTATTGTCATGTTTCTCATGTTTAAGTTGCATTTTGAGCTCAAATACGAACTTGGAAAAATGAAATCGGATAAAACTGGTTTTTCTGGAGGGGTGGGCTAAGTCCCTTCGGTGTCTTACACAGGAAGTTCAGAGGCTTAAAACTTTCAAAAATAGTGTAAACCCACAGGCATATATCTAATGATCATAATTATTATTGAAATGTGCATAGGAAACGACTACTTCTGGTTTCAGGTCCAGTTGAAGTCAAAAATCGGAAAAAATTGTGAAATTCTGTATTTTTGCTACAAATGACCTTTTTTAGATTGGTGTTCCCAGATCAGTTTCACTCCAACCTAAGAACTGCTGGGGTTAATGTGCTAACTGGGGTCCACAGCACATGCAGACTACAGCTGGATACCTATATCAGCATCCCTTGGTCTTTGGGGTCAAGAAAAAGGATCAAAAATCGTCAAAATTGACACCTTTTGCACCTGATGACCAACTTTGGGGCAAATTCCCGCCCACCCACCCCTGCCTCCTCACCCCAACCACCCTGCCCCGTGATCCCCTACCTTAGATTTGAAGGAATCAATATGCTTCAGCAGCAGGGTAAATCTCATTTGCATATAATTTGCATATTTTTGCAAATAAACGAAAATTAGACATTTTCTGAAAACAATTCAGCATGGTAAGTGTTAACATCTTTTCATATTTACTTGAATGGTTTCTTGTTCTTAACATTGTACTTATTTATATCCTTGAACACTGAAGTATATTTCTTATTTTTTCCATAAGAATCATTTGCAGATTCAGTGGGGATATGCTTTAAACCCTTGATTACAAAAAATATCCTTTTTTTTTTACATAAAATTGTAAAAAACACCCAAAACTATTTATTTGAAAAACAAACATTATGTCTCCCTTCCCTTGAACTCTGGATCCAACTCGTGAATGAATGTGTGGCAGTTACATGTTATTATTATGTTTGATCAGGTATGTACGAAACTAGACCAGTAACTACAAAAATTACCAATACAGCAAAGTACTGAATTTTCATTTTCATTTGTCTGATCAGTCAGTGTATTAAACATACAGTTTTATTTGTCTGATCAGTCAGTGCATTAAACATACAGCTTTATTTGTCTGATCAGTCAGTGTATTAAACATACAGTTTTATTTGTCTGATCAGTCAGTGCATTAAACATACAGTTTTATTTGTCTGATCAGTCAGTGTATTAAACATACAGTTTTATTTGTCTGATCAGTCAGTGCATTAAACATACAGCTTTATTTGTCTGATCAGTCAGTGTATTAAACATACAGTTTTATTTGTCTGATCAGTCAGTGCATTAAACATACAGTTTTATTTGTCTGATCAGTCAGTGTATTAAACATACAGTTTTATTTGTCTGATCAGTCAGTGCATTAAACATACAGTTTTATTTGTCTGATCAGTCAGTGTATTAAACATAGTTTTATTTGTCTGATCAGTCAGTGCATTAAACATACAGTTTTATTTGTCTGATCAGTCAGTGTATTAAACATACAGTTTTATTTGTCTGATCAGTCAGTCATTAAACATACAGTTTTATTTGCTAGCATCACATTATGAAGAATGACATTAATTAAATGTTCTCATTCATTCAATATATCCTAGTGAGAACTACACCATCCTAGTCCAAATAAGTAAGATTTCTAGGAAGGCTATTTCAATCTCATCACTTTAAAAGTAAATAAGGAATAGATATTTTTCAAGGTACAAAGGGGGTCTAAATAAAAAATCTACAAAAAAACAAATTCTAATTAGAAAAGACAAGAGTGCACACGCTGAAATGTCTCGCCTTCTTTACTAATCATTGATATTATGTTGATAGTCCTAAATATAAAGCTTTATTACAACTGTCACATAAACTTAACATTAACCAAGTAAACTAAACATTGACCAATGAACCATGAAAATGAGGTCAAGGTCAGATGAACCATGCTAGGCAGGCATGTACAGCTAACAATTCTTCCATACAACAAATATAGTTGACCTATTGCTTATAGTTTAAGAAAAACAGACGAAAACACAAAAACTTAACACTGAGCAATGAACCTTGAAAATGAGGTCAAGGTCAAATAAAACCTGCGTAACTGACATATAGATCATAAAATATTTCCATACACCAAATATAGTTGAACTATTGCATATAGTATTAGAAAAAAAGACCAAAACTCAAAAACTTAACTTTGACCACTGAACCATGAAAATGAGGTCAAGGTAAGATGACACCTGCCAGCTAGACATGTACACCTTACAATCATTCCATACACCAAATATAGCTGACCTATTGCATGCAGTATTAGAAAGAAAGACCAAAACTCAAAAACTTAACTTTGACCACTGAACCATGAAAATGAGGTCAAGGTCAGATGACACCTGCCAGCTAGACATGTACACCTTACAATCATGCCATACACCAAATATAGTAGACCTATTGCATACAGTATAAGAAAAACAGACCAAAACACAAAAACTAAACTATAACCACTGAACCATGAAAATGAGGTCAAGGTCAGATGACACCTGCCAGTTGGACATGTACACCTTACAGTCCTTCCATACACTGAATATACTAGACCTATTGCTTATAGTATCTGAGATATGGACTTGACCACGAAAACTTAACCTTGTTCACTGATCCATGAAATGAGGTCGAGGTCAAGTGAAAACTGTCTGACGGGCATGAGGACCTTGCAAGGTACGCACATACCAAATATAGTTATCCTATTACTTATAATAAGAGAGAATTTAACATTACAAAAAATCTGAACTTTTTTTTCAAGTAGTCACTGAACCATGAAAATGAGGTCAAGGACATTGGACATGTGACTGACGGAAACTTCGTAACATGAGGCATCCATATACAAAGTATGAAGCATCCAGGTCTTCCATCTTCTAAAATATAAAGCTTTTAAGAAGTTAGCTAACGCCGCCGCCGCCGCCGGATCGCTATCCCTATGTCGAGCTTTCTGCGACAAAAGTCGCAGGCTCGACAAAAATTGTCAAAATGAAGCCAAGCTGTTGAAATAAATTTGCCTTGTGGTTCAATTTGTATTATTTTTTTTCTATAAAGTAATTCATAGTTTTAGCTTACTAAATCTACTTCACAAATTTGATACTTTCATAATTAAACCATCAAAGATATATAGATATTACAACAATCATTGAGATCAACCACAGAACAAAAACTTCTTATTGGCATTGTATACATATAAATCCATCAACAGTTATTCAGAGCTCCAGATAAGCTGCGTATTTGCGTGATCACGCAATACAAATAATTAACAAGAGTGCACACGCTGAAATGTCTCGCCTTCTTTACTAATCATTTATATTATGTTGATAGTCCTAAATATAAAGCTTTATTACAACTGTCACATAAACTTAACATTAACCAAGTAAACTAAACATTGACCAATGAACCATGAAAATGAGGTCAAGGTCAGATGAACCATGCTAGGCAGGCATGTACAGCTAACAATTCTTCCATACAACAAATATAGTTGACCTATTGTTTATAGTTTAAGAAAAACAGACCAAAACACAAAATCTTAACACTGAGCAATGAACCTTGAAAATGAGGTCAAGGTCAAATAAAACCTGCCTGACTGACATATAGATCATAAAATATTTCCATACACCAAATATAGTTGAACTATTGCATATAGTATTAGAAAAAAAGACCAAAACTCAAAAACTTAACTTTGACCACTGATCCATGAAAATGAGGTCAAGGTCAGATGACACCTGCCAGCTAGACATGTACACCTTACAATCATTCCATACACCAAATATAGTAGTCCTATTGCATACAGTATAAGAAAAACAGACCAAAACACAAAAACTTAACACTGAGCAATGAACCTTGAAAATGAGGTCAAGGTCAAATAAAACCTGCGTGACTGACATATAGATCATAAAATATTTCCATACACCAAATATAGTTGAACTATGACATATAGTATTAGAAAAAAAGACCAAAACTCAAAAACTTAACTTTGACTACTGAACCATGAAAATGAGGTCAAGGTCAGATGACACCTGCCAGCTAGACATGTACACCTTACAATCATTCAATACACCATTTATAGTTGACCTATTGCATACAGTAATAGAAAAAAAGACCAAAACTCAAAAACTTAACTTTGACCACTGAACCATGAAAATGAGGTCAAGGTCAGATGACACCTACCAGTTGGACATGTACACCTTACAATCATTCCATATACCAAATATAGTAGACCTACTGCTTATAGTATCTGATATATGGACTTGACCACGAAAACTTAACCTGGTTCACTGATCCATGAAATGAGGTCGAGGTCAAATGAAAATTGTCTGACGGGCATAAGGACCTTGCAAGGTACGCACATACTAAATATAGTTATCCTATTACTCATAATAAGAAAGAAATTAACATTACAAAAAATGTTGACTTTTTTTTCAAGTAGTCACTGAACCATGAAAATGAGGTCAAGGACATTGGACATATGACAGACGGAAACTTCGTAACATAAGGCATCTATATACAAAGTATGAAGCATCCAGGTCTTCTAGCTTCTAAAATATAAAGCTTTTAAAAAGTTAGCTAACGCCGCCGCCGCCGCCGTAGCCGCCGCCGCCGGATCACTATCCCTATGTCGAGCTTTCTGCGACAAAAGTCGCAGGCTCGACAAAAACCCAATGCAATTGCCCATTGCAGGGTTCAATAACCCAATTAATTCAAAGGAAAACCCAATTATATGCCAAAACCATGAGTTCTTAACGCTTTTATTCGCTATCGTTTGCGTTATTTACCCTTATCTGATTACAGTCGTCGCGTAAATCTATTTTTATAATATTTATAATTGGAAATGTCCTTTCGTTCATAAAATAGAGCCCTGCATCAAGTAGCTGTAATGGGTCCCTGTTGGAATTTTCCGTTGCTCAAAAGGTACACGTGTTTATGAAAACATTTCGATCTTCTCGGCGTTTATCCAATTAGCGTGTGACATGCTGTCATATTTTTTCGAATTGCTCGTGATTTATCATAACATACAATGAATTAAAACAAAAGTAAATGTCCGATAAAAATATTGAATAGAAGCATGTTTTCAGCTTCTTTTTGAAAGCTGAGGGAAAGTTATGATGATAACAAGACTCAGCTAGTGATTTTAGGAAGCGTCCATTGAACGCACGGGCGTGTTTGAAGGTATGAGAACATTGCTATAGAACGATAAACACATGGTTTCGTCAAAAACGAAATCAGTTGGAAAAAGTGAAAGGCCAAATCAATTATGACATGATATGTAGTTGGAAAGCATCGGAAACCAAAAGTTCTGATAAGGGACAACTTAACCCAGATTTATGTAAATTGAATTAAACAAAAACAGTTGATATATTATTTTTTTTCATTTTAGTTGATGAATGAATACACATATCCGTTTTTTACGTCAAATTATGCAGCTTGACACTTTCTTAGTTTTGGTCTAATTGTTCTGGATGCTTAAGATAGTTGTCTTATTGGCAAGTGCAGTATAACATTGTCATTTATTTACTTGATGTTGCAGAATTATTTGTCAATTTAAGTTGAATGTGGTCTCCATCATTAAACCACCCTATAAATCTCAAGGTTTTGGGGTATATCTTAAGCCTGGGAACTACTTTTTATTTTTATTAAAAAGTAGATCTGGCAAATTTCTTACAGCACCTAAATTTCACATATATTACATAAAAATCTAAACACTTAGCCACACCTACCCCAAACTATAAACTGTAGGGTGATCATATGGGATCTAGAAAGGCAATTAGTTACTGCATGTCCAACTAGTGACACCAGCTGCAGTTTACATAAGTTTTGAGAAAATACAAAACTGACAGAATGTTTAAAACGGGACACAAATTAAACGTACAATTGCTTGTCAGTGAATAAACCAAATAAAACAGCTAAGCACATATACAAAGAAAGAAACACATTTAAGATGGAAACACATCTGGGGTTGATATAATGTGATTATAACATGCCTAAATATTCAATATTGTGTTGATGAAAAAACCCAATACATTAAGGAGCTTGGCGGTGAAAAACCCAATTTGATATTTGCTTGAGGGGTGAATTAGAATTGATAATGCAATTAAAAAACTCTATCACTCAATTACATAAAAAAATGGTGTGTAAAAACCCCAATTTGTGAATTCTTATCTGGAGCTCTGGTTATTTAAATTTATTGTAATTATTATCAAATACCAATCTATAAACACGATAAATGAATCCTAACAGCTTGCAACAAATCAATTAATTGTGAATTTTGTTTTTACCTTTATAAATTTACCTTTCAATTACAAGAATGAAATAAATAATAAAACATGTCTTCTAATTAATAATACGGGGGACCTGTGGGCAAATGGCAGTGCCACGATTTTTTCGAGAACTCCCAAAAACTCAAATGATAGATACGCTGTATTAACCAAAATCTATATTTTAATGGTGCATATTCCTGAAAAAAAGAAGTGGTAAAGAAATATCTTCATGCCATATTGTCCTATGATGTTTTTTTGCCAAACAAAGGTAGGTCAACCATAGGCATAGTAGTTTATTCATAAAACAGGAATTTGAAAATCGTCTAAACCAAAGGCAAAGAAGGCAGTATACATTGGTATTATTTAACCGGAAATCATGGAGTTTGCAATACACTGTTTTATAAAATTGGCAGTTAATTTGAATTTCACTGCTTTTTAATTTTTTTATGCATCAGTGTGCGAGTGATGAGTTGCTTGGAAGTGTTTGCTTGTATTTCACATTTTCAGTTTGTAATTACTAGTGAAGACTTGTCTGGTTTTCCTCCTACCCCTATCTCTTATAACTAATTATTCTATTGTCAGTTCTGAGAAAATCATCGTAGAATATTTTTTTTCATTATTATTTCACTCACTGTATTATTACAAGACAAAATCTAAATTGTTGACAAATAGCAGAGTGCACGACGCCATTTTGTTTACTGTTACCGTAACAACAAATTCCCGCCATATTATGTAGGATCTGACAATGAACCGAAACACAATTTTGAACTGCAAATCACAATTACGGAAACGCATAAATAATCGAGGCAACATATATTCTTCGTTTAAAGGGGCATTGACTGCAAACTGAACATGCTGAGCACAAACGCAACGGTCACCTCTATCTGACCTATCTAGGGGTCAAACTTAAGGTAGCAATACACAGTTAGGAGTTTGGTTTCGCATTTTGGCCCCGGTGAATTTTCAAATATAAAAGTTATTGTGCAATGAAATTGATTTTTAGATAGCTAAAGAATAATATAGCCTTTAAAGTGGTTTATATAAAATGTTAAATATAACACATATGTACTTTCACGGTACTACAATCTGTCGATACTTATAGTTTGGCATTGGACAAGGTCATGTTTTTCTCTGACTGTTAATGACGTCTTTACACTAAATCCATTGGATGTTGGATGTGTACTGATTGAAATTTTTAGTCTTAGATACATGATTTTTTTCATTAGTTGTTATTGGCTTTGAACTAGCTGTCAGTAACTGCGGGTACTCTCATATCTGTACTTTATGTTTTTGTTAAATGTATTTCTATTTGTATCCATCTGATGAGTTAAGCCTTTTTCAACTGATTTTTATAGTTTGTTCTTCTGTTGTACTGTTACACCACTGTTCCAGGTTAGGGGAGGGTTGAGCGCTCTCAAACATGTTAAACCTGCCACATTCCTTACTTGCCCAGGGGCGTAGCTAGGCCAATATGATGTGTACTCAATGCCGAAGGAGGAAGTCAAACGGCAGGGGTTTGGGGCAAGTTCTGGGTAAAAGGTGCAAAATCCCGCACCTGCATTCTCGCAATTTCCTGGGACTTAAAATGACCTCACCGAAATCTTATTTTCATGAGTAACAAGTCAACTTTTGAAAAAAAAAATTGAAAAAAAAAAAAAAAATATTAATTAGAGAAAAACAAACAAGTACTGTTGGCTTATGAATTTGGATTTTCTAATGTGTAGTGGGTTGAGCTTAATTAAATTAAATTAAAAGAATATTCGTTGCTAGTTAGTTTAGGTTAAAAGGGGTGGTAAAGGGTGGTACTTGCACGGAAAAAACGTTAAATACAAAGAAGGAATAACAATTTCACGGTGAACGTGAAATAATTTCGTCCATGAACGTTGATAAAAAAAAGTACTATAATGAACGTATATCATAGGTTGGAAACCTCTAACTGGCAAGTATATAATATATACGTTTTAAGTCCCGACATATGAATCAAATCTATAAGGAAAATCATCAAATTATTTCCGATTTCTTTTTATTAACTTCCTAAACGATAGTCTTTTAATTTTACCAAGCATGGAATACAAGCACTTTGAATCTCGAAGCATGGAAAATAAGTACTTTTAATCTCGAAGCACGTATAATTAAGTTGGGGAAACACTTTGAACGAGGCACCCGTCTTGCACAACCGAACTTAAAAAATACAAAAAAAGTCAAAACTCGATGATCGTCAATTTAAATTAAAATTAAAAAAAACAACAAATAAACGGCAATCACTATGCACGAAAATTACCCTTTATCAACCCCGTTAAACTTAAGTCAGACTGGACTGTTTAAAAAAATCTGTTATGACGACGTATGTAATCAAGACTATACATACCTCACATGAAAATCATGGGAATGAATCGTTGTCCATGGTCTCTTTAGAACGACATATTTTATTTCGTCAGTTATTTTGAAATCTTCAGAAAAGATGTCAGGACTTGGTAAGGAGGCATAGAATTGTTTTCTGACACCTCGAGGACCATTTATATTGTTTGCATCAGCAACATAATCCTGATGCTGGTTCCGTAAATAAAACGTAATTTCAGGAACGGAATATAGCTACAAAGTGATTATTAACATGTTTGTAAGATAGTTTTTAATTTAATCTATTACTTTAGTTTTATTCTTACTAAATTTACCATAATTTTATTTTTGTAAAATTTTCGATGTGTACGCAACTGCATTTTTGCGTACGGGTTGCTACGCGCCTGTTTGCCTGTCCCAAGTCAGGAGCCTGTAGTTCAGTGGTTGTCGTTGGTTCAGTAGTAGAGAATTGATAAGAAGTAGTGGATTCGTAAACGATAGTCAACTTTAGTCGCACGTTGATTATCGTTTCCGAATCCACTACTTCTTATCAATTCTCTAGCTTAACCCATTTCTTGTAAAACGACTGTCTGTTTTACGTTTTGACAATGAATCAACGATATTTCGTAAAAATATTTTCGTATTTTGTCTTTTTTATTCTATAATAGCTGGAAATGATTATATCCACACGGTTCGCATCTATATTTAGACAATTGACAAGTTTAACTTAAGATAACTTAAATGGGGTGTTAGCTCCACTTTTTAACATCAGATTTTATTTTTGTATATACATATTTCATTTAATGTTTAATCATTACAAATTATTTAAATTTAATAGATTTTGGTATATTTAATTTATTCAAAAAAGACATATATTAATATACAGAATTTATTTATCTTGTTTTGAAAAGTTAAAAAATTTAATTACCAAAATTTAGAACCTTCAAAATTTATATATATAATATTTAGCAACATGATTTGGTATATTGAAGACTAAAGACCGTTAAGCCGTTCATAGTCAAATAAATATTATTAGCGTTGATGCCATAAATCTGCCATTTCATAATGCTCAAATTCATGTTGCTTTCCTGAAGTATTAAAATAATGTGCTTACGATTTAATTTGAACAATTATATTTAATTTTTGTTTAAACTGTTTCCGTTTCATTAACTTAAGATTATTTTAACGTTATTACATTTGGCATATATCGTTCAATAAACTAGTTTTATCTGTGGTACGCAGTCTGAATCCCCATCAGAATTGCTCTTCCTACGGATGTACAATGAATAATTATGTTGATTTCATAAACTTACCATCAAGCCGTTCATAGCCGTGATCGTCTAGTCGTTGGTAACGAATGTCACTACGGTGATATTAACAGTGCAAAGTTCGAACCTTGTATCTGGAATAAAAAAATTTCATTGTAATTTTTTTCTGGACCAAAATATTGTTTTAATCCTAGATTATGTAGAAGTATTATATATTTCATTTTCATATAATGGCGATGATTTTGTTTCTGTTTTTACTGTCAAAGAAGTAGTTTTAACCCATTTCTTTAAAAAAAAAATAACACCCAAAATAAAACAAATTCAATAAACATGAACAAACCAAGATATATATATTTCATTAGATTACAAAAGCGAATTATCAATGAGACAGAAACACAGTTAAATGACATGTATTGACAATTAAGCGCTTCAAGAGTACTATTCATATAATGATTCAGTGATGTCAGCCATCGCGGATTAGTGGTATCATGCATAGACTGAAGACTCTATTGATTATGAAGAAAATACGCCCGGGTTCGAATCCTACACATGCCATTCGTTTTTGATAGGATAAAAGATCGTAAGTTAAAAGTTTAAAGTTATAATATAAGTTCTCTTAAATTAATACTGTGATCAGTGGATTCTTGAAAAAAATAATCTACAGTAAGAACAATAGACTGACGTCAGAGAAATGGGTTAATGTCTGTCATATTTGTTTTTCGTAAACTGTTTTGTTATAAATTAGGCCGTCAGTTTTCTCAATTGAATTGTTTCATATTTTTCATGTCGGGGCCTTTTATAGCCGAATATACGGTATAGGTTTTTCTCATTGATGAAGGCCGTACGGTTCAGTGCCTATAATTGCTCACATCAACTTCATTTGAACTTTGGTGGATAGTTGTCTCATTGGCAATCATACCACATCTCCTTATTTTGATATTATATGAACATCAAGATTGTTTTTTGCATGTTTTATAGGCCATTTTTGTTTGACAGTCCCTATTTTCACATCCGAAAACCCATAGGTCCTGAAATTATTGTAGTGTTTTCCAACAAATATTTTACGCTCGAACTTTTCAATTCAATTTTATGGAAAAATGAGGTGAAATGCATCCACGTTCATTTTCTAAATAGAGATTTCTTTATCTATATATAACATTATACATTTTTATTTTAAAAAGGTTAAATCCAAACTATCCTACTGCCTGTCGATACTTTTATTTTGGTATCGCACAAGTCATGTCTTCTTTGACTGTCCATGGCGTTAAAATACTAAATCCCTGGGATGTGTTTTAGTTGATTTAAGTCTCTGATGCATGTTTATTTATTATTAATTGTTTTTAGCTTTTAACTAGCTTTCAGTAACTGCGAGTACTCTCAAATCGTACTTTCGTATTAATTTGACCTTTTACACAATTTGTAATGCATTTTTGTTATTCAATGTTTACTTATTTTGTATTATATCTCGTCTCACTATTTTTAATATGTACCACCTTTGATAAGTATTTAGTTTGACGATAAATTTCCACTGCTGTCGTACTATGAACAACACATTTATGTATTTTGAAAAAATATCTCCTTACTCCTAACAACAAAATTATTATATTTAAATTTACCTGTGTACGTTATCATATTTAACGCCATTTTGTCCAAGGTTATAGTTGTCTTTTTGACATTGCGTCATAGATCAAATTTATTCGTTCAGTGTATATTTACTTATTTTTGTTAATATGTCTTTTTGATTGAGTTAAGCCATTTCAATTGATATTTTATAGTGTGTCTTTCTATTTTGTAATGTTACACTACTATTTCAGATGAGGGTGAAGGTTGGCGCCTGTTAAAACGTTTAAACCCGCTGCATTTGTTTGCACCTGCCCTAAGTCAGGAACCTGTTTCAGTGGTTATCGTTTGTTGATGTTGTTCTTAAGTGTTTCTCGTTTCTCGTTTTTATATAGATTAGACCGTTGGTTTTCCTGTTTGAATTGTTTTACACTAGTCATTTTGGGACCCTTTATAGCTTGCTGTTTTGTGTGAGCCAAGGCTCCGTGTTGAAGGCCGTACTTTGACCTATAATTGTTTACGTTTTACACATTGTGACTTG